CCGAAACGTCAGCCTCTCTGCTCCTATGATGCTGCTTGGCCTGCTGTGTTCATCCAGCCCTGCACCTTGTTGTCTCGGATTCTCCAGCATCTGCAGTTCCTACTATCTCTCCCAGTCTATCCAACCTTTCTTCATAGCTAAAACCCCCCATTCCAGGTAATGTCCTGGTAAACCTTTTCTGTATTCTCTCCGAAGAATCCACATCCTTCTGGTAGTGAGGAAGACCAGAACTGTATGCAATATTCCAAGTGTGGCCGAACTAAAGTTCTATAAAGCTGCAGCATAACTTGTCTGTCCTTACATTGAATGTCCCTTCCAATGAAGGCAAGCATGCTATAGGCTTTTTTTTTACTAGCTTATCCACCTGCGCTGCCACCTTCAGTGATCTGTGGACCTGCGCATCCAGATCTCCCTGTATGTCAATACTCCTAAGGGTTCTGCCATTCACTGTATAATTTCCACCTGTACTTGACCTTCCAAAATGCATCACCTCACATTTGTGTGGATTAAATTCCATCTGCCGTTTTTCTGCCCATGCCTCCAACTGATCTATATCCTGCTATATTCTCTGACAATCCTCCTCACTATTCACAACTCCACCAATCTTTGTGTCATCCACAAGCATACTAATTAGACCAGCTGCGTTTTCCTCCAAATCATTTGTGTAGATCACGAACAGCAGAGGTGCTAACGGTGATCCCTGTGGAACACCACTAGTCACAGCCCTCCATTCTGAAAAGCATTCTTCCACCGCTACCCTCTGTCTCCTACGACTAAGTCAGTTCTGTGTCTATCTTGCCAGTATCTATCCCATGATGCTCAATCCTCTTTGGCCACAGGTGAGGTCCCAGAGGACTGGAGAATAGCTAATGTTGTCCCATTGATACCATATGACTTCACCTTTTGTACCAGTCTGGCATGAGGGACCTTGTCAAAGGCTTTACTGAAGTCAAAGTAGACAGCATCAAATGCTTTTCCCTCATCAATCATCTTCATCATCTCCTCAAAACACACAATTAAGTTAGTGAGGCACCATCTCCCCCGCACAAAGCCAACTGTTTATCGCTAAACAGTCCATTTGCTTCAAAATGCTTATAGATCTTGTCCCTGAGAACCTTTTCCAATAACTTTCCTTCCACTGACGTGGTTCACAGGCCTGTATTTTCCTGGATTATCCCTGTTACCCTTTTTAAACAATGGGACAACATTAGCTATTCTCCAGTCCTCTGGTACCTCACCTGTGGTCAAAGAAGATTGAGCATCATAGGGAGTTTGTTAGATTTTGTCTGGAGATGGTCATTACCTGGCACTTGTGTAGAATGAATGTTACTTATCACTTATTAGCCCAAATCTGAATGCTGTCCAGATTTTGCTATATTTGGACATGACCTGCTTCAGTATCTGAGTCACTGCAAATGGTGTTGAACATTGTGCAATCATCAGTGAACCTTCCTCACATCTGGCCTTATGATGGAGAGAAAGCCATTGAAGCAGCTTAAGATGGTTGGGATAGGATACTACTCTGAGGAGCACCCAGAGTGATGTCCTGGGGCTGAGATGATTGACCTCTGACAACTGTAATCATCTAGCTTTGTGCCAGCTGTGTTTGCAACCAGTGGAGAGTTTGTATGCTTCAAGTGTTTCAAGTCTTCAGCTAAATAGTTCTTCGATGTCTGAAGGTTTCCACCTCTACCACCCTTTTAGGCAGAGAGCTCCAGATATCTACAACCCTCTGGGTTTCACCTGCTCCTTACCTTAAAACTGTGTGCCCTGGCATTGATTCCTGTACAAGGGGAAAGGTTCTTCGTATCCACTGTGTCTGTATCCATCAGAATTTTGCACACCTTAGTCAGATCCCCTTCTGCTTTCTCTGCTCTAAGGAATCAATACCAGCCCATCAAATCTCTCTTGGTAGCTGAATCATTCCAGCTCAGACAACATCCGAGTGAATCTCTTCTGCACTCCTCCCCACTGCAGTCATATCGTTATATGACGTGATGACCAAATTGCACATAGTACTCCAGCTGTCGCCTAACATTATATGCACCCCAATTATAACTTCCGTGCTCTTGTCTTAACTAATAAAGACAAATATCTCCCATGCCTTCTTAACCACTTTATGTACCTGCCCTGCGGCCTTCAAGGATCTATGGACATGGTCACTGAGGTCTCTGATCCTCTGTACATCTTCGGGTTGTATTATTCAAAGTGTGTACTCCCTTGTCTTGTGAGTCCTCCCAATGTCACCTCACCATTCATTAATCAAAAAGCAAGAAAAAAATAGCACTTTTCTATAGTACTTTTCACAGCCTCAGGACTTCTTGCATGCTTTGCTGCTGAAATAATTTCTTCAGTTTAATAGCTATTAAATAGGCAAATGTAACAGTTTATGAATCAAGCCACACAGGCAGTGAAAAGGTGATAACTGGTTAGTCTGATACAGTTAGGGAATAGTTTTGGCCACGACACGGAAGTATTCTTTAAATCAGGTATCAGTGAAATAGGGGCTGCTGCATCATTATTTAGCAATTTGTCACCAGTTTTGGAAATGTGGCTTTTCCCTCTTAACTTTGTGTCCATCTAGGGTTTTAACTCCATGCTTTTATATTTTGTGTTGCTCTGGTCAGCTAAGCTTTGACAATCAAGGTCTTGTCAACAAAGCATCCTGATCTTAAATGCTATAACGTTATTATGCTTGGATAGCTACATATTATAGGAGGGATGTGATACCACTGGAGAAGGTGCAGAGGAGATTTATCAGGATGTTGCCTGGGCTAGAGATTTTCGCTTATGAAAAGAGATGGGACAGACTGGGATTGTTTACCTTAGAGCAGCAGAGATTTGAGAGGGGACATGATTGAGATGTGTAAATTATGAATAGAATAGAATATTCTTTACAGTCACGTGTACTAAAGTACAGGACTACAGTGAAAAGTTTACAATGTTGCCTCTTATGGCACCATCTTAGGTACAAATTTTAGATACAAGAAGAGGAATTAAAAAAAAAAGTAGTTGCATTACTTTACAGTGATTCATAGTATAAGTTAGAGGACTTAGTTAAAAGGATAGACATTACAGTCAGATAAACAAACTACAAATAAATATTACATTGCCGTAGCTCAGCGCAGGAGCTTCCACACATGGTCTGACCTCCCACACCAGACCCCAGTCCAACAACCATCCCTGCTCTGCTCCATGACGCCAGTCCGCTCCACACTGACTCTTATCTGGTCCAAAGTAAGTTTTCTCCTGCACTTCCCCGCACCGGCCTCTGCTCCGGGACGTGCCTCCCCGTGCCGGCCTCTGCTCTGGGACGCCCCGCCTCCGTTCCCCTCCGGGCAGGTCCAAGTAAAGAGCTGAAAAAATGTAGAAGAGGAGAAAAAAAAGAGGAAAAAAGGAAAAGGAATGGGCAGAGCAGAAGATCTTTGGCTGGAGCGTCCTACTTTGCCACCAGAATGACATAGATGGGACTGATTGGAAGAAACCTTTCCACTTGAGGGGAGGGATCAGTGACCGGAGGCATAGATTTATGTTAAGAGACAGAAGGTTTAGAGGAGATGTGAGGAAAAGCTTTTTCACTCAGAGGATGGTGGAAGTCTAGAACTCACAGCCTGTAGGGATGGTAGAGGCAGAAATCCTCATCACATTTTTGAAGTATTTAGTGTGCACTTGCGATGCTAAGATACACAAGGCTTTGGACCAAGTGCCCAAAAATGGGATAGTTAGAGACAACAAGGTGCAGGGCTGGATGAACACAGCAGGCCAAGCAGCAGCATAGGAGCAGAAAGGCTGACGTTTCGGGCCTAGACCTTTCATCAGAAAAGGGGGAGGGGAAGGGGGTTCTGAAATAAATAGGGAGAGAGTGGGGGGCGGATAGAAGATGGATAGAGGAGAGGATAGGTGGAGAGGAAACAAACGGGTCGAAGAGGCGGGGATGGAGCCAGTAAAGGTGAGTGTAGGTGGGGAGTTAGGAAGGGGATAGGTCAGTCCAGGGAGGACGGACAGGTCAAGGGGGCGGGATGAGGTTAGTCGGTAGGAGATGGGGGTGTGGCTTGAGGTGGGAGGAGGGGATAGGTGGGAAGAAGAACAGGTTAGGGAGGCGGGGACGAGCTGGACTGGTTTTGGGATGCGGTAGGGGGAGGGGAGATTTTGAAGCTTGTGAAATCCTCTGACATTTCCGCCATCTGCAATCCGACCCCACCACCAAAGACATCTTTCCCTCCCCACCCTTATCTGCTTTCCGGAGGGACCACTCTCTCCGTGACTCCCTTGTCCGCTCCACACTCCCCTCCAGCCCCACCACACCCGGCACTTTTCCCTGCAACTGCAGGAAGTGCTACACCTGCCCCCATACCTCCTCCCTCACCCCCATCCCAAGAAGACTTTCCACATCAAGCAGATGTTCACCTGCACATCTGCCAATGTGGTATACTGCATCCACTGTACCCGGTGTGGCTTCCTCTTCATCGGGGAAACCAAGCGGAGGCTCGGGGACTGCTTTGCAGAACACCTACGCTCGGTTCGCAATAAACAACTGCACCTCCCAGTCGCGAACCATTTCAACTCTCCCTCCCATTCCTCAGACGACATGTCCATCCTGGGCCTCCTGCAGTGCCACAACGATGCCACCCGAAGGTTGCAGGAACAGCAACTCATATTCCACTTGGGAACCCTGCAGCCCAATGGTATCGATGTGGATTTCACAAGCTTCAAAATCTCCCCTCCCCCTACTGCATCCCAAAACCAGTCCAGCTTGTCCCCGCCTCCCTAACCTGTTCTTCCTCCCACCTATCCCCTCCTCCCACCTCAAGCCGCACCCCCATCTCCTACCGACTAACCTCATCCCGCCCCCTTGACCTGTCTGTCCTCCCTGGACTGACCTATCCCCTCCCTAACTCCCCACCTACACTGGCCTTTACTCCGCCTCTTCGACCTGTTTGTTTCCTCTCCACCTATCCTCTCCTCTATCCATCTTCTATCCGCCCCCACTCTCTCCCTATTTATTTCAGAACCCCCTTCCCCTCCCCCTTTTCTGATGAAGGGTCTAGGCCCGAAACGTCAGCCTTTCTGCTCCTATGATGCTGCTTGGCCTGCTGTGTTCATCCAGCCCTGCACCTTGTTGTCTCGGATTCTCCAGCATCTGCAGTTCCTACTATCTCATAGTATAGTTAGATGTGGTTTTTGACTGGCCAGGATGTGATGGGCCTTTTTCTGTGCTGTAGGTCTCTATGGCTTCAAGAGTGCTTTATAGAAATGAATGACACTGAAAATGCCCTGAGAGTAAAGTAAATCCCACCTGCTCCAGAAGTGTGTCATAACATGTCTGAGCAGGTCGATTAACAATATCTATAATATATTTAACAGAATTTCGATTAGTAGATTTAAGAAAAATCCTATTTTCAACTTGCTCCAGTGACCATTCGGTGAAAAAATGATTAATTAGTACATTTGATAGTGCCATAGTTTCAAAGAGGGAACCTAAATGTTCGTTTATATTTTTATTAAAATTGCCTTACTCTGTGGTTCATTAAACAGATCCTTGGTTCTAACAAGTGAGCAAAATGACAATTTCCTGAACAAGTTGCTGATTCTTGCGGTACTGGGATGGCTTTTCCAGGCAAGTACTTATCATATGTTAAACAGGATTGATTTTGAGTTTGAAAACTGCAGAATGTATATTTGATTTAATGGATGCTTCAGATGCCTGACTTTTGTAGTGCATTGGTAGAAATTGTTGAAGTGCCAGTGTTTGCTTTTGTTTATTGTGACTATTTTTCCCTAACTGTACTGTGGTAGGACCTGAACCACGCAGAAGTGGTTCAGAAAGGCAGCTCACCAACATATTCTTAATGGTCACTAGAGATGGGCAATAAATGTAAGCCTACTCAAGAAGGATGGCCTGATACATTTTGTAAGCAATTTACTACCTTTGAAGTGTAGCCTCTGTTGTAGGGCATGTCGCAATCAATTTGTATTCCGCAAAGTCCTCCAGTAGTGATCTGTTTTTATTAGTGTTAATTTCTTTCAGATAGTGCCATGGCATCTTTTATGTTCAGCTGTAAATGTCCTGAATGAAAAGATAGCATCACTGGCAGTCCACACTCCTTCAGTACTTCAATCTGAGTTATGTACTCTTAGAGTGGGACGAGAACCAACAATCCTGTGACTCAAAAGCAAATGTTAGCAACTGACCCAAGGGCTGATGCTGAAGGCAGCTGATAAACCAAAAGGGAGAAGCTTCTGATGATTTCTGAAAATTAACTAATCAGCTTGCAGAATGTACATATGTAATTGTAAAAAGGCAGGGAGCCAATGACGTGGCTGTGGATTAGATAAAAATTCAAATCCATTTCTATGTTGATCTTTCTTCCTCATTGTATTTTTATAATGTGTGGAGCATGATCCTGCTGACTTGGTTCTATGTGTAGCTGCATCAATTTGGAAAGTACTTCACAATTCATAAGTTGATCCCTGTCAGATATTCATCGAAAATATTAAAACCATCTCAATTTGAAATGAGTGAACCACTCACAAGCAGAATTCAGGGAATATTGCTCCAAGGTAAACTTTTAGCAAAATTAAAGCTTTGTCAGTTTCACAGCGACAGGTTTAAATTTACTGAAGAAACTTTTCTGTGGCTTTCGATGTCTTAATCAAAAATTTTACTTCACATTCTAAACTGATGTCGTATGCTCCAGAGCTCTTGTATAGTTCTAAACTACGTGGACTTAGCAGATTTTAATACATGTACAGGTACAACACTGTCTTCCTCAACCTGAATGTCTTAGCTTGGGGAAGCTTTTGAAGCCAGCAGTCAGAAATGTCTCTATGCCTTTAGTAAAGAAGTCAAAAGTCACACGATACCAGGTTATATTCCAACAGGTTTATTTGAAATCACAAGCTTTTGGAGTGCTATCCCTTCGTCAGGAAAAGTCATTAGTATTTAGAGATATTGCAGGTGAATCAGAAAGAGGGAATCACGACCCAACAAATATTCCCAGATTCAGTGAAGGTTAAAGCTACCTTGTTTATCTCAACAGCACACCTCCAAACAACTCCCTAATGTGGTATTTTGTTGAACTCTTTAAGTTGGTGGATCTGTGCTTACTAAAAGAAGGGTTGGAATCCATGAATTCAGATTCCTTGTAGGTGACAAAAAGAAATGACCAGTTCCAAAATCTCTGCACATCTAGCTTCAGAGATTTGGGTTTATGGGGACCAAATAGGGTTTATGGGGCTGAAATAGGGTTTGAACTGACCATTAAAAATAGAATGACATGAAACATGTATGCATGATATATAATCCAAATTTTCAACAAGATTATTGATATTTTCTTAGATTCCGGCAGTTCCTGAGGAAATGTTCTTCAATGAAGAGAATGTTGATGGATTTGAAATAAGCATATCAGACCAAGGATTGGTAAGTCATATGTCAAGCAGTGTTGAGCCTTTGTTTCACTGCTGTTCAGTTCATAGTTGAATTTTCCTTTAAAATCACTGTTTTATTATCAGATTATCAGATTGGTATGAGCTGTCCATGTCTCTGGTAAAAAAAAACTAAGCAATGCAAAATTGTTTCAGTGCAGATGGTTGTCATTTGATTGTTGGACCTTTGTGATAATAGTGGGGTGGAAAGCTACTATCAGCTGGTGCACTAGACTGTGCGCACACATATTGTATGAAAGCAGCATTGGGTGTGGCAGAATAGCCTGCCACTTCATATAAGTTTCCACAGAATGGTGACTGAGATAGGCTACTTGTTGCTCAGGAACTATGTACTGCGTGAGACAGGAGTTGGGGCACAGAAAGGAAGAAAAACATTTGAACAGCATATTCTTTAATGCTGATGACCTCTTGTCTTCCACATTAACACTAAACCCATACATGTTGGACTCTTGCTCTTGAGAGAGTGACAGTGTGCTTCCAAAATCTAATGCCCTTCAAACTCACACCTCAACTTTTCTTCTTTTGAAAGACCCCTCACTTGATCTCTTTAGCTACTCCATTCTACTTATTACATTATTTGTGTAAAGCAATTTAAACTGTCAGTGTGCAGTTCTAAGTCTGGCTATTGTTAGAGCCCTTGGTGATTTTTCATTATTTTTAGTTTGTTATTTTAACAACCTTGTTTTGGAGCCGTGAACTGGGAATTGAGAGCGAAAGGTGACTTCTGGACTGTGGATAACAGCTTGTGTAAAATTGAAAACAGACCAAAAACAAGCTTTTGTTTATTCATGAGGCCAGGCCTGGAAGTTAATTGCAGGTTGGTTCCTGATCAAAGCTTCTGCAGATGCTTTGTCAGCAGGGAAGAGCATGATGTTTAAACAGATAGCAGAAGTTGGCTATTAATGAGGTCAGTATCTGGGAATTGGTTCCAGCAAGTCTGGAAAGATCTTATGCTGAAGCAGGTGGAGATTTTCTTTATTTATTCATTCCTGAGATGAGGGCGCCACTTGCTATGCAGCATTTATTGCCCATCCTTAATTGCCCAGAAGACAGTTAGGAGTCAGCCACCTTATTGTGGGTCTGTAGGCCAGATCAGGTAAGGATGGCAGTTTCTTCCCTAAAGGGCATTAGTGAATCAGGTGGCCTTTTCCCAACAATTGACAATGGATTTATAGTCATTGTTAGATTCTAAATTCCAGATTTTTTTTTTTGTTTATTGAATTCAAATTCCACCATCTTCCATGGTGGGATCCGAACCCAGGTCCACAGAACATTAACTGGATCTCTGGATTAACGGTCCAGCGACAATACCACTAGGCCATTGCCTCCCCCTATGTTTGAATGGAGACGGTCAATCTGTCGAGGAGTGGTCAGAGTTTGAATTGGTTTTTGGACTACCTTTTCTGAAACAAAAAACAGGAATCTGGCAGTTTATGCTACAGCATGAAGATTTGAAAGCTCTCCACTTAACCACTTATGTGCAGTCCTTGGAAGGTCAGAGAATTGAAAACTAAGTTATAAGTACTGCCTTTATCCGAGTGAACTGTGAAGGTAACTCTGATTGACATCTTCAGATAATCAACCAAGGAACCATAATCTATGCATGTGGAACAATGCATCATGAAAACTGTTAAGAAATCTGGCCAGTTTTATATTCTTTTATTTATCCCTCAATTTGTTTTTTGTATGAATGGCGCTGAAAATAGAGTTTTTTGGGTTTGAAGCATTGATCAATTAGATTGCTTCGTTTAATTTTACTCTGGTGAAGTTGTTATATTATTAGAAATTGCTACATTTTTTAAAATTCAAGATTCAAACCAGTGCCTTGAACTGATTATTTGCAGAGTCTTGGATTAGGCATTCAAAAGTCTGCTTAGGCCAATGAGGTTAATTTTGAGTGTCTTTGAAAGTTTTCATTCTACTGTGTTGCAAATACAGGGGTAGAAAGACTGATTTAGTTTGGCTGTCTTCCTCAATGTTGTAACATTATCTAGATGTTGTACTTCTTTTTCTGACTATTCATGAATTTTACTTCCCTCTGTAGTTTCCATTCTTTTAAATTATCCATTTTTTTAAATCCCATATTAGATTATCACAAAGTTTCCAATGCATTTTGGAATCTTCAAGTATATAAAAGAATTTGACTGTAGACCATTCATGATAGGACTGTACACCTGACTCCATAACATTGCCATCACTCCATAATCTGCACTGTAAAGGAAAACAGTTTCTTATTATCCCCAGATGTAACCAGGTAATGAGATGTGTAATACTGAATTATTGCTGAATTGTAAAGGTCCCAGAAGCATAGTTCCATTTCAAGTCGCATATTACGTCCAGGTTAGACACCATTGAGCACTATTCTTTGAGCCCTTCCTACCCAAGTTCAACTTTTTGCTGGTTGTGTCTTCTATTCCCCACCTGCCCAGTACAGTTGATTTAGGAACTCCAGGAAATAGTGACAACAATGCCATATGAATATGGAATGGTAGCATAGTAGACTCATAATCCAGAGGTCTCAGCTAGTAATTTCAAGATGAGGATTTGGATCACAGCAGACCAAAGGCTGTTCAGCCCATGTCCCTGCATTTCATTTTGTGCCATTTTCCGGTTTTCTCTCTATAATCCTGCCCATTGTTCATTTTTAGGTGATAACTTAATTCCCTTTTGATTGTATCAATTGAGGTTGCTTCCACCACGTTTTTAGCAGTCCATTTTAGACACAAACTACTCACTGCAATTTTGTTTTTTTCATCTTGCAATTGCTTCTTTTGCCAATTATTTTAAAGCCATGCCCTCTCATACTCTATTCTTTCACGAACGGGAACTATTTGTCCCAATGTATTCAGCCCAGACCCGTCATGAATTTGACCAGCTCAGTTCTCAACTTTCTCTTCTCCAAAGAAAGTAGTCCCAACATCTCCAACCTTTACGTGTAACTGAAATTCTTCATCCCTGGATCCATTCTTTTGAATCTTATCTGCACCCTCTCTAACACTTTCATGTTCTTAAAGTGTGGTGTCCAGAACTTAATGCATTGTTCCAGCTGAGGTCAAACTAGTGCCTTATCAAGTTCAACATAGCCTCCTTGTTCTTATGCTCTACACCCATATTAATAAAGTCCAGGTACTGTATATTTTATTGACTGCTTGATCAACCTGTCCTGTCACCTTCAGTGATTTATGCATGCATACTCCCAAGTTCCTCTGCTCTTGCATTCACTTTAGATTTATGTTTTTTATTTTGTATTGTGTCTTCATGTTCTTCCAATCTAATAAATCACTTGACACTTCTCTACCTTAAATTTTCATCTGCAATCTGTCTGTCAATTCCACCAATCTGTCTGTTCTTTTGAAGCATTATCCTCCTCATAGTTAGCAGTCCTTCTAAATTTTGTCTTAACTGCCAATTTTGAAATTGTGCCCTGTACACCAAAACTTACATTACTAATAATTACCAGTAAAGGTAAGAGTCCCATCTCTGACCCCTGGGGAATTCCACTGTATACTGCCTCCTGATTGAAAAACATTTATTATCCAGCACTGTTTCTTTCTGTCACATGACATATTTTGTAATCATGTTGTTTCTATCCCATTTATTCCATGATCCATAACTTTGCCAGTAATTTGCTGTGTAACACTATATCAGATACCTTCTTGAAGTTCACGTGTTCCACATGAACAGTATCACCCTCATTAACCCTCTGTTACCTCTTCAGGGTACTCCAGGAACTTAGTTGAACACTATTATCCCTTAAGACGTCCATGCGTGCTGGATTCCTTAATCACATGGGCAATGCATATTAATTAATTGTTGCTTCTAGAATTGCCCCATCACTGAAGTTAAACTTTGCCTGTAGTTGATGGGCTTATCTTTACGTACTTTTTCAAAAAAAAATGTAACATTTGCAATTCTCTGGTCCACTAGCATCACCTTAATGCTAAGATTGGAAAATTATGGCCGGTGCCTCCACAATTTCACTTCCAATTACCTGAGTATCATCTGATGCATATCTTTCAGTCCTGGTGCTTCATCCATTTGAATAATGTCCAATACTACTATCACTTCAGTTTGAAACCTTTCATGTGTCTGAGTTGCCTTCTCTTTCACCATGGCCCGGATATCCCTCTGCCTGCTTCTCTTGTTCCTTAATCTGCCATACCCCTGCTTGTATTGAACATATTCTGTGTCCAGCACTGCAGTGTTTTCCCTAATTCTATCGTTACTGAACACCTTGTATCCAGAAATATTTAACATCTAGTTCTGCTCTTCCTTGAGTCAATCTCTGGTCTAGCCAAATCATCATATTTTCACATAGCACTCTGTGCCTGTAACTCACCTGATCTAAACTTTATTACTTTCTTCCTTCCTCTGATCTAGCCTATTAATTTACTTTTCCTTATTTTATTGTAATCTGCCTCCCTTTATACCTGCCAAATTTGTTCAAGCCCCTCCAATAGCACTAGCAAACAACTCTTTGAACATTGTCCCAGGTCTATTTGAATGAAAACTGTTCAGCCTGTAAAGGCTCTGACTCCCCCAGAACTGGTCAAAGAATTCTAAAGTCTTTCCTCCTAAACCATCTTTTCAACCATGCAGTCATTTTCTTTGTCGTCTTACTTGTATCCCACTTGTGTGTGCCATTTGTAGTAATCCGAGGATTAGTACTCTTGAGAGATAGTAAGAACTGCTGATGCTAGAGTCAGAGACAACAGTGTGGAGCTGGAGGAACACAGCAGGCCAAGCAGCATCAGAGGAGCAGGAAAGTTGACGTTTCGAATCGGGACCCTTCTTAGTACTGTTGAGGTCCCGTTTGTTAGTTTCCTATCTAGTAGGACCGTAACCCTCTTTCTGTCTATTTTCAGTCATATCAATGTTGACCACCACTGCTGCTGTTTGCCCTCCTCTGTCTAGAGCTGCTTCATCAATAATGGTCTCTCCATCATAAAGTCATAAATTTAGAAATGGAGATGCTTGTTGATTATTATGCAGTGATCGGTTCCATTCACAATTCAATTGATGTTGCGTGAGGAATCAGACTGCTTCACTGGACACCATTCAAACTTGGGTTTTGAATTGGCTAGTAACATTTGTGTCACACAAGTACCAAGCAATGACGATTTCTAACAAGTGTGAGTATTGGTGATCTTTCTTTGATATTCAACAGCATTACCATAACTAAATTCTCTATCATGAACATCGTAAAGGTCACCATTGACCAGAAACACAACTGAACTGAGCACAAAAATATCGTTGTTCAAAAGGCGGCTAAAAGTAATGAATTCTGCGATGAGTAATTCATCTCCTCACTCCCCAGATCCCTCTTCACCTCCAAGACCACTAGTTAGAAGAATGACGGAATACTCTCAATTTACCTGTATCACAGCTTCCAACAACACTCAAACAATAAGTTTGGCAACCTCCAGAATACATTTGATTGGTGCAAGATTCATAATGTGAACAATTCACTCCCTTAATCACTGCTATCAAAAATATGTACTGCAGCAACTTGTGAAGGCTACTTTAACACCACCTTCTAAACCTGAGATATCTACTACCAAGAAGAGCAAAATGCAGATGGAAAGTCCTCCACACGCAAGTGGCACCACCATACCAAAGCCACCCCGAATTGGAGCTACATTGCTCTACCTTCACTGTTTTTGTGTCAAAATCTTAGAATTCCAAGACCAACAACGCTGTTCTGGACCCGAAACGTTGACTCTGATTTTTTTTTCTTCACGGATGCTGCCAAACCTGCTGAGCTTTTCCAGCAACTCTATTTTTGCTATAATGAACCAAATAGACAATCTATAAAGACCTATTTTCAAAACTACATTGCAGCTCTATAACTATTTGGAATGATTTACACTTCCTTCTTGGGAAATCATCCAGCCACTGTTTTCCAAGGTCTTGGTCAAAATGGGGAAGTTGCAGGAGTAAAGTGAAGTTCAGTTGGTTTGCTGCATTAAAGCTGAAAAAGTATAATTTCACCCTGTGCAGCATCATTTATAACAGTGATCCATGTCCAGGAAATGTATCAGTTTAGACTGAGTATGATGTGTGTTTTTCCTTTTTCAGGATTATGTCCCACTGGTTGACCAGCAACTACTGTATCTTTGCTGTCCCTATCTGAGTGAGTATATTCTCAACATTGGAAGATGGGTTAGAGGGGTGGTGCAAGAGATAGCAAATTATATAGAAATTTTCTACATAAAAGAATCCCTCCTGATCTGTCTGCTATTGCATATCTGGAATTCTTTTTGTGTTCTATTGTGAAGGCATTTCAAAAGGAGTGGTTATATAATGTGAAAGAGGTATGCACGATTGTGCCGGATTTACATAAGGTAAACAAAGAGAAACCATTCCCAGTGGATGGGTACATGTAGGAAGGGACTTGCATTTAAGGTTGGGAAAGATATACAGGGGATTATGAGAGACAACTATTTAACATGGTGAGTGGTAATGATTTGGAACTCACTGCTTATAAGGGTGATAAATTGGGATGATCAATGATTTGAAAAGGAGATTGCATAGGCATTTGAGGGAAATAAACTTTGCATGGTTGTGGGGATGAAACAGGACAGTAGAACTGACTGGATTGCTTTGGAGCGCCAGCATGGACTCACTGGGCTGCATGGCCACATCCTGTGTTGTAAATAATTGCAACTATAAGCATTTTAATGGTTACTAGATCCAAGAGACATTCTGACAAAGTAAATGGTTGCAAATGTATTGTTATGTAAAAGGATTGAGATCGACTGAAAAATTGTATTTAACTGTTAAACTAAGGATCAGGGCTAGCATGACCTGATAAGCAGTTGAAAAAAAATGGTCATTTGTAACTACAAAAGCAAAATGCTGTGGATGCAAAGTCTAAAATGTAAACAAAATGTCAAAAATATTCAAGCAGCATCTATGAAATGATGAATAGTTAATGTATTAGTATTTTCTGCTTTTTAAGTTGCATTTAATTGACTTCATGATGTTTATCAAAGATGATATTAGCATTGAGAACAAGGAAGTAGACACCACAGATTATTTAAAAGTGGTATTTTATGGCACCACTCTTATTTTATTAGTGTATCACAGGTCACTGTACCATTAGAGCTCCTGAGATGGTGAGGTGTATGACAACTCGAGTTGACACATATTCTCTAGATCTAGGATCCAAGGAAACATTGGTTTTGTTTTCTTTATTCTGGGAAACAAAGCTCTCGCTTTTTGAGAAGACATTGTTCTACAGAATTATTTTTGGTTTCAATCTTATTTTATCTATGAATATTAATTTTTCATTTTAGGAGCAGGACTCTGTTAGCCAGTTCTTCCATTTGATTAGATTTTGGTAGATCTGCACCTTAATTCTATCTTGGCTCCATGTCCCTTCATATCCATGCCATTAATTTAAAAAAAAAGACTGTTGGTTTCCTCCTTCATCACCTGTGATCCTTGGTTAGAAACTAGGTTTTCAGTAAGGCAGCTCCACAGCCTACTGTTCAGGGGATGACCTGTCATAGCTTTCTTATTTTAATCCTTTCCTGTCGGAGTGCTTGACATCTCTTGAGTGTCTCTCCATGGAAGCGTAATGAGATTAGAAACCAGGCAAAATGCAAACTCTCGCATGTATTTGCTGTTCTAACATTCCACTCATTAGTTTATTCCATTTTATTTACCCCACAGCCTCTAACTGGGTAGGAACAACCACAGAATATGTGACAGATAACCACTAACAAGTTGTGCCAATTAATTAAGCCATGACCAGATATTTCATCAGGTCTTGTGTTGCAGGTGAGCTGCGCAAGCTGTTAGCTTCCTACGTAGCTGGCAGTGGGCTTAAAAATGGAGGGTACATGAGAAAGATCACACCAACTGCTGCAGAGCCTTCACTACCAACTTTGGCACAGTCTCAGCAGAAACTCCAGGTAATGCTTGAACTCAGGAAGTCTTTGCCAAGGGAATATTACCTTGATGTTTTCCAAGGCTCTGTGTCTCAGAATTGTCTTGTGTCGATATTCTGCGTTAAATGTCTGCTATATTTTAGTGTGTATTCAAATAGGTTGACTTTATTTGCTTAGTTTCAATACCTCAAATTGTCAATCATTTTATTCCAGTAAGGAGACAAATCTGCTCTCATACATAGTAGAAGTATTGTCTCCACTGTTTTGACTTAACCCCAGATAAACATGCACAATCATTCACGTTTCAGTAAGTGTTATTGGATGAGGGGCTCAGTGGTTCCTTGCTCATTCTTCAGTCTGTCGAGTTTCTTAGCACATGGGGAAATGCTGCTCCCTGATGGTATAGAATTGCTATTTGCAACATGGCCATAAATCAAAACAGAAGCAATACTTTCTAGTAGAGATCACCTGCATAGAGTGCTTAATGTAATGTTTCTGATTCCTGGTTAGGTGAAATTGGAAGAGGCTTTCTTTCACAATCAACCACCGTCACTCCGCAAAACAGTTGAGTTTGTGGCTGAAAGAGTTGGATCAAACTGTGTAAAGCACATCAAGTAAGAAAGAACAGTGTATTTTAATATTACAGAAAAACTGTTTAAAAGTGTCATAGTTCAGATACCTTTTGCAGGAAACAGTGCATATCTTTACAGTGCCACATTATCAATATATATTTAACACTGTTAGTGCAGAAACGCTGACATTTGGAACCATGTATTTTGGACAAAACAATGGGTTTGATTTTTCCCATTCACTAACTGCAAATGGAGGGGAGAGTCTTGTGCCCTTAATGGAGCCATTCTGCTTATCTTCTATTAAAGTTAATGGAAGGAATATACAGGTTCCATAAGAGGCCTGTGATATATCCCACCCTCATTTCCAACATAAAGAGATTGAAACAGCTTCTCCTGACCCTCACACTGGTACACACCAGAAGTCCCCACTGATCCACCATTGCTGCCTCTGAGTGAAGAACAAAACACCTGTCCCACACCTCCATGTGCTTGCTGAAGCATATTGTTGGATGATACCAGAATTATGGTGAAACTGACTACATTTGATATAAAGTCAATATTTTACTGAATGTGGCATCAAGGACCTTTATTTAGTAAGATTGAAGTAATTGGGAATTAGGGAAAGTTGTCTTCTGTTTAGAATCATAGCCAGTGGAAAGGAAAATGGTTATGACTATTGGAGGCCAGTCATCTCAGTCCCAGGACATCACTGCAGGAGCTGCTTAGGCTATGTATTTTCTAATCAACCTGTATCAGAGATGCTATTACACACCTCTTGAACAGGGGGGTTTGAACCCCAGGTCTCCTGGCTCAGAGGTAGGGATACTACAAATATTCCACAAGAGCCCGAGTTGCTCAAGGTCGTATTCCAGGCCCAAGCATTTTCACCTATTCATTCATGACGTACCTGCAGAAATCAGAAGTGGGGATATTATTTTACAATTGCAGTTCTATTCACAACTCCTCAGTTAATGAAGCAGTTTGTCCTTGCAGCAAGCCCTGATCAGGTTTGGGCTGATAAGTAACATGCAGGCCAGATAATGATCATCTCCAACGACAACACTTTCCTTGATTTTCAATAGCATTAGCAAGGCTGAGTCTTTTAGGAAGTCACTGTCCACTAGAAACTGAATCAGACCAAACACACACATGATGTGCTAGTAGAGCATGTCAGAGGCTAGATATTCTGCCTTGTAACTCATCTCTTGATTTTAAATTAAACTAAGTTCGTAGAATCATAGAATCCCTACGTGTGGAAATAGGCTCTTCAGCCCAACAAGTCCACACTGACCCTCAGAGCATCTCACTTAGATCCATACCCCCTATGTCCCAACTAATCTACACATCTCTGAACATTATGGGCAATTTCACATGGCCAATCCACCTAACCTGCACATCTTTGGACTGTGGGAGGAAACCAGAGCACCTGGAGGAAACCCACGCAGACAGAGAGAATGTGCAAACTCCACAAAGACAGTCGCCTGAGGGTAGAATTGAACCCGGGTGCCTGGTCATGTGAGGCCGCAGTGATAACCACTGAGTCAGCGTACCATGGACTTTTAAACCTATTGAGACTTTGTGATGCATGTTCCTCCACCCTTCTGTTCATCCATCAAATTTGGGTATTTATTTTCCAAGGTGTATGTGGTTGCCTTACTCTTCTAATTAAAGTGTACAACATCTATAATTCTGAAAGTTTTAATTTTATCCTGCATATTGCCACCATCCTTCTCTGTATCAATTAGCTCTTTGATCATGTGTCCAAGATTGTGGACTAGGACAGGTGACTTTTTAGAAAAACACGTAACAGCTTAGATTTTGTATTCCAGGTAACGTCCTTTAAAGCATATAACAATGAAAGCAATTATTGCCTATATTCTCTTTCCTAGGGCGAGTTTGGTACCTGAGCTAGTCAAGCATGGGACAACAAAGCTGCAAAATGCAATGAAAAATGAGAAAACCAATCTGCCTGAGCTACTTGAAAGCGTGATATGTGAGCTCTGTGAAGAAGGCAGGCAGGCTGTTATCAAAGGCAGAGAGTAAGCACCTACAATCAGAGTAGTGGTGGATGTGTGACTACTGTACGAGCTCAATGATCATTTCCTGTTTTGAAGAAAGAACTGCACAATAGCGTAAGACAGGACAATGTATCAACAGCTTGCATTTATATAGCATCCCTAATTTAGCAAATGGTCTCAAGGCTCACACGTGTGGTCCAGTTGGTTGTCATTGGCAGAGCGATAAAGATCGGGGGTGCACAGTATGCCAGTGTTGGAGAGTGTAAAGACATTTCCGGGTTGCAGGGCTGGAGGAGGTTACAGGAATAGCTGAGGTGAGACCGCAGAGAGATTTGAACAGATTACAGGAGAAACAAAATCAATTTACAGTATATAACTTAGAGAAATGAATAGTCAGTTTTAAAATATGGCACAGTTACCAACAGAAAAGACTGGAAAATCTCTTACCTTGAAATCAGCCCTCCTTTTCGTTACTCCTCCTCATGCAGGGGTTATTTTTCTATCTACACACTGCAATTTATTTAATTTATAACATGTTTAGTTTATGACTAGAAAACATTCCATAGAAAAGTGCTCAAGTTGGCATTGAGACCAGCTAATGGGAGAGGAATGAACAGAGAAATACTGTTAGCATCCAAGCCTTCCCACCTGACCTCTTTTCATTCAATGTTTTGATGTGGAATGCTTTCCTGAAAAGCTGATTCAAGCAGATTAAAAAGTAACTTTCAAATGGGAATTGTGCTTATACCCAAAGGAAACATTTGGAGAACTATGGGGCAACAGCAGAAGAGGGGGCTAATTGGATAGCACTTTGTGCAGCAAGTGATTAGGAAGGCATGTAAAATGTTTTTTTTAATAGAATCCCTACAGTGTGGAAACAGGCCATTCAGCCCAACAAGTCCACACCACCCCTCTGAAGAGCATTCCACCCTGACTCATTCCCCCACCCCTGCATTTCCCCATGTCCAACAAGCCTGGACACAACAGGCAACTTAGCAAGGCCAATCCACCTAGCCTGCACAACTTTGGACTGTGGGAGGAAACCGGAGCACCTGGAGGAAACCCACTTGTAATTTATTGCAGAGGGCATGGAATATAAAAGGGACAGTTTGCTGCAGTTGATAAGACTGCAGCTAGAATCTCGTGTATAGTTTTGGTCTCCTTATTTCATAAAAGACATAATTGCATTATAAACAATAGAGAGAAAGTTCAAGTGACTAATTCCTGGTATTGTTGGTGTTATCTTATGAAAAGCTTCAACAGGCTGGTCCTTTATCTATTGGATTTTAGAAGCCTGAGTGCCGATTTTATTGAAACATAGAGGTTCCTGTGACTTAACATGGTGGATGTGGAGGGAAGTGTTCCCCGAATGGGACAGGGAGCCACTCCGATATTAGTTGAAGTTAACTAGGGGACTGGTAAAGATTTAAGACAGCGACGAGAAGGGATTTTTCCTCTGGGAACTCGTTTTATCAAAGAACAGTGGAGGTGGAGGCATTCAATATTTTTAAGGCAGAGGTAGATAGATTCTTGACTAGTGAAGGAGTCAGTGGCTTTTGGGATAAACAGGAAAGTGAAGTTGAAGCCAGTCAGATCATCTGTGATCTTATTGAATGGCAAAATAGGCTAGAGGGGCTGAATTTTGTATATTCTTTCAAAGAGTTGGTTCCTGCAACATTCCTAAAGCTTGGCCATAGATGACATCACTGGAGTACCTACTTCTGATGTAGGATGAAGCCTTTTCCTCATCTCATGAGAATATAATTGTAGTGAAGTACAGAGACAGGCACCTACTTATCACCTTTCAATTGATTACTCATTTCCCTTGGTTATAGAATATAAATTGACTTTATTCCTCTTGTAACCTAATACTTAGTGCCATTGCATCTGTTCTTTCTTCAGAAGTATTGATACTGCAATAATAAAAGCAAACTACTTGGATGCAGGAAATTTGAAATAAAACCAGAAAATGTTGGAAAACTCAGCAGGTCTGGCAGCATCTGTGGAGAGAGAAATAGCTAATGTTTTCAAGTCTAGTCTTCTTTGGAACTCAGATGCTTGGGGTCTCCATCATAATGTTCCAAGGGGTTCCTCTTCGGTGGAATTGATTGAGAGGAGGTGTTCTTCACCTGTGGGTCCTGCCTGAAGGCTCAGGCTCTCCAACAGCCTGTCATAAGGATTTGATCTGATGTTTGGATTCAAATCTGGAATTGTTAAAGTATTTCTGGAGTAAAATATTTCTCTTTCTTTCAACTTTGCAGATTCTGCACCAGAAAGGGACCAGAAGCAATTCGGGTTCTACTTCCAGGAGAGACATCTGCCTCGGTTTGTTAACTTTTCAAATTATTCTGTATCCTGGGGGGTTGGTATGTAGAGAACACTTCCTGTTTCTGATCCTGGCCCACAAGCAGGTTATTGCAATCTCATTAACTTATGCCTGAATCATTTCAGTGGAGCTTTCAACTCACCCAAAGCAGAGACTATTAGTCACCAGAGATCTCGGGTGCCTGAGTCTATGGAAATTTTTAATGTCCATGAGCATGTGGTATGTTTCTAATGTAAATGCTAACTACAGATTGCCAGGGCATACAGCGAAGTTGAATTTACCAGCAATGCCAAAGAATTAGGTAGGTACCTAGTAAAGTATTTTATTGAGAGCTAATGAGGCACTGTGCTATGTGATGATATAGATCTAGACACCTGAGAGTACCCTGATGTACAACAGTGGACGTTAAGCTTGTGTAGAATTCCTGTATCTTATTGCATTGTACTTTGCTTTCTTCCATTATTCATGATTTGTAGCATTATTGCTTCCTAAGTTGAGAGCTGGATCATGAGCTTCCTCTAGCTAAACATTGATAAATCACGGCTATTCAATTAGGATTGCAGCAGGTTCTGTGCTCCTTGTCCTGTGATCCCCTTTTTCTCTTGCTGGAAATCTGCTAACTCTAAACCAAATTGTATCCTCTGATCTTCGAATGTCACCCCAATTCTATCACCAAAAGCACCTACTTGCTTACTCTGACGTCACCTGGCTCAATTCAGTATAAAATCATACAGTACAGAAGGAAGCCATTTGACCCATTGTGCTCATACAAGCGTTTTGAGACAATCACCCAGTTAGTTCCCTTCTCCTGCTGTTTCTCCATAACCGTAAAATAATTTTCTTATCAAATAATTCTCCAGTTCCGTGCTTCCACCAGCCTTTCAGGCAGTGGATTCCACATTGCAAATTGTTGTGTGAAAATAAATCTCATTCCTTTTTCCAGTTTTCGTAGATTTGGGTTCTGTGGTTAGACTCTTCTGTCATTGGGAACAGTTGCGACTGTAATTGCTGTTGTTGACCTGAAAGGTTTCAGGAACTGTTACGTGGGCCCAAACTTGGTCCCATTACAGATGCCTGATCGTGATGCATTTCTGCTCCACAGTGAGAGCATCAAATCCCAGACTGCTACTTTGTTACTGGAGAGAATTTGTTGAATTTGCAGTGCTGATTTACAAAATGGACTGAAATGAAATTGAATTCTTCTCCGTTTTAAATACCAGTCTTCTAAAGCAAGTGGAAAAGATTTTGTGGAGGAGACCCCAGCAAGCTCAGTCCATTTAAGAGCATCACAGAGTCATAGTCTTAAATCCTACGTTAGCTGTTAATTTTTTTCATTTTATATTGTTTGTTTATGGTTTATTTAGTTGCCAAAAGGATATATTCATTTGTTGAAAATAGAATAAAACATTTTGAAAACAGCTGCAAAGTAACCCTATTTAGGAATACCATCTCTTCCTACCTTGACTTGGTCCTTTCTCGCCTGGTCCAGTCCCTACCCACTTACATCCACGATTCCTCTGATACTTTACACCAATATTGAATTTCCAGTTAGCAGGCTCCAGCCGCCGGCTCTTTATCATGGATATGCAATCCCTTTACACGTCCATCCTCCACCAGAATGGTCTCAGGGCTCTCCACTTCTTTCTGGAACAAAGGCCTGAACCGACCCCATCCTTCAGCCTCCTGAGCCTGGTGCTGCTTACCCCTCTTATCCAGAATTGGAAAGGTTTATCGATTTTGCTTCCAATTTCCATCCCACTCTCACTTTCACCTGGTCCATCTCTGACTCGTCCCTTCCCTTCCTCAGCATGACTGTTTCTATTTCTGGGGTTAGACTGACCACTAATATCCACTACAAACTCACCGACTCCCCCAGTTACCTGGACTATAATGCTCACATCCTGCTTCATGTAAAGACTCTATTCCATTCTCCCAATTCCTCCGTCTTTGATGTGTATGTTCCGATGATGCCACCTTTGACAAGGGAGCCTCCAAAATGTCCACCTTATTCACAAACTGAAGATTCCTCAGGAACAAAAACAAGGTTGCTGGAAAAGCTCAGCAGGTCCGGCAGCATCGGTGAAGGAAAAAACAGAGTATCGGGCCCGGTGAGCCTCCCTCGTAACAGACCGGAAATGTTAACTCTGTTTTTTCCTTCACAGACGCTGCCAGACCTGCTGAGCTTTTCCAGCAATTTTGTTTTTGTTCCTGATTTGCAGCATCCACAGTTCTTTCAGTTTTATGAAGATCCCCAGCACTGTTGTTGACAGGGCCCTCAACCGGGTCAAATCCATCTCCTGCACTTTTGCCCTCAACCCCTCTCTTCCCTCTCTCAACAGCAATAATTGTCTACCTATCACATTCATATCCAGAAGTTCATTAGTTGCCATTTCTGCCACCTCCAGTGAGATGCCACCACCAGACACACATTCTCCTCTCCTCCCTTGTCTACCTCCCGCAGGGACCATTCCCTCCAGGACACCCTGGTCCACTGTTCCTTCACTCCCAATGTCCCCCCAACAGCTGCACATTACCCTCCCCTGCAATCACTGAAGGTGCAATACCTGCCCATTTACCTCCTCCCTCCTCAGTATCCAAGGGCCCAAACATACCTTTCAGGTGAAGCAGCTTCACACAATCTAGTCTACTGCATTCGCTGCTCACAATGTAGTCTCCTGTACTTTGAGTAAAGAAAGCGCAGGTTGGGTGACCACTTCACAGAACACCTACATTCTGCCTGCAAAAATCCCTGAGCTTCCAGTTGCCTTGCACTTCAATATACCAGCTTGTTCCCTGACCAGTATCTCTGTCTCAGGCTTGCTGCAGTGAAGCTCAGCACAAACTGGGAGAACAGCATCTCATTTTCTGCTTGGGGACCTTGAAGCCTTCTGGATTCAATATCAAGTTCGATAACTTTAGGGCTTGAACTCTCGTATGACCTAGCCCCCATCCCCACACAGCAGTCATTGTTATCACATTGTCTGCTTTTTACACACAACCCATTGTTAGCCACTATATTCACCCTCCTAACTGGATCCTTATCCACTCCTTTGTGTGTCCAACTGGTCTTCTCCCTCTTTTGGGCTCTATTCCCACCTATCGTTTACTCCTTACCCCCTCCTCTCATCCTATCTTCTGCATAAAAACAGACATTTTCTTAGCTACCATCCATTCTAAGGAAGGGTCACTGGATCTGAAATGTTAACTCTGATTTCTTTTCACAGATGCTGCCAGACCTGCTAAGCTTTTCCAGCAGTTTCTGTTTTTGACTCTATTTAGGGAAACAGTCAATCTGGACATAAATCTAATTTAATTTACTTCCTTTTACTAGGTTTCAGTTTGTATGTCAAAACTAAATTTAGGTTGGCTGTCTGGTTGCAGCAGTTTTTCTACACCCAGCCCCAGTCTTTCTAGTTTCCCCATTTAATTAAGGTCCCGCACCTCTTGAACTTTTCAGGATCATGACCAAGGCCTTGACATCCTTCCAGAATATGTCTAGAATTTGCTCTGTTGGGGTCCACTGGAATCTAACTAGTGATTTGTAAACATTTATGACTGCACTCTCTTTGTGGAGTTTTTCAATTTCCACTGTTTTTGAATGCCAATTTATCAAAACATTCTATATGTCCTTCTGCTATGGAATGTGTGAGATTCCAAAGCAATGCAACCTCCTCACTGTGACAGTTACGATTGGAAATGTGTTTGTTGTTTTTGATGTCTATTAGATACTGTGTGCCTTTGCCCTCTTCCCACAAAATCACCATCACTAACACTGTGCCCTGTACTCAGCTGTCCTCCCTCTTCCCGTTTTAGTGTTGTTACCCCCAACTCTCTTTTATAAAGCATTTGAATTGCCTTTCTGCTACTTGAATCACTGGTGATATTTGAAAGTAATTAAGCCTTCCTTTAATAGGTGCTGAGCACAGCTGAAGGTATTACAAGCCGCCTTGCTACTGAGAAAGCTTGTACGTGGCTTTCTGCCAACATCACAGGTACAGATAGCATTAAGCTTAGAAGATCAACTTTTTGTGAAAGATCGCCAGAAATCCCGAGCATCCGTGCCGTACAGTATGGAGGTCTCCTCAGTGGCCTTGGTCACGTTGAATTCAAGAAACTACTGCAAGAAATGGTTTCTTAAGCAATTGAAAAATCATGTTTTCAAATCTTTGCAGGATAGATGGGAAATCTGGTGGCAAGGTGTAGTAGGTTAGGTAATTATCATCTCATCTAGCACCCCAGCCTCTCACTGATGAAGCTCATAGCAAAAGTTACAAGAGTAAAAGTTACAAATTGTGCTTTAAGCATTACAAGCAAAGGAAAAATTAAAAGGTATAAAATAATTGTATAAAAGTAAAGATAAATGACAGAGAAAAATATTGGAGTTGTGGAGTGCAAATAAATTTTCTTTATACAAATGTACAATGTGCAAGGAAGAAATTGAATTGTGGGCATAGATTCAACTTTGAGGGTGTGCCATGCAATTCATGACTGAGACATGCTTACTGAATGGTCAAGTTGTGATGTTGGAGGGGAAGGGGTAGTCTTAATATTGAAAGTGAAATTCTTGCAGTAATGAGAGATGATGTAATGAGATGGCAAGCAAAAGAGACTTTCCGTAAAATAGAAAAGATATTAAGACCACAGTGGAAGTTGTGTATAGGCTCCATGGTAGCAGCCGCAAAAATAGATTGTAAAAATACAGAGATTAGAAAAGCATGTGACAAAAATGAAGTACTCTTAATGGGAATTTTAACATTTATATAGACTGTAATAAATAGACAAGCTTGTGTCAGGGACATAGCAAAACTCTTGAATGTGATATGATTTTCTATAACGGTATACTTCAGAACCAATCAGAAGGCATATCATTTGATTTAGTTAACAGCAATGTTTATCAAATAATGATCTTAATATGATCAAGATCAAACGTGTGTTTGAAATAGAGAAACAATTAGAGTACTGCGTGTTGTCCTGGATAGCACATCATGGAAAGAATACATTGGTCTTGGAGAGAGTGCAATGTAGGTTCAGCAGAATGATAACTGGACTCTAAGGATTAATTTTTGAAGAGAAATTACACAAATTAAGGTTGTATTCCCTGGAATTTAAAAGGTAAAGGATGATTTAATTGAAGTTTTCAAGATGGAAAGCAGTGGGATAGAGAAAAGCTTTTTCTACTAGTTAAAGGAAGACTAGCTCAAGTGGCCAAAGTCTAAGAGCCAGACATTTTGAGGATGAAGTTGGGAAACGCTTATACACAAAAGATGGTAGAGGTTTGAAACTAACCTGCAAATGGCAATTACTCCAAGATGAAATTCATCTCAGATTTAAGTTTATTTTAATCAAATATAATCACAAATTAAAAAACTAATTGGGGGAATGATGCATAGTGAAATTAGGTCACAGATCAGCCACAGTGGAGTGGACTAATGAGGATAACTGGACTCTTGATGCTGTGCAGTAATTTAGATTTCCCCCTCCCCCTTGCTCTAGTGCTGTGCAGAACTTGATGCTGAGATCAAGTACCTCTTCTTGACTTGCCTGCTTCTCACTGGAAAGTAGACAGTCTTAACATTGCATCAGAAAACAACAGCCTATAGCGTATGGATGCAGATAGAGAGTGGGGCAGGAGGCTTTCTAAGGCTGCAAGTAAGGATATCATCTACTCATAATCAGGTTATGTACTTTTGGATGATGTATTGTAAATTATTTTAAGGTCACTTTGCCAGTTCCTATTTTAAGCATCTTTTGCTCAGCTGAGTGGGGAATGCAGATGGTTTTTGTGTCAGTCACTAGGAGAACTTGTCTGTTGCTTTTTTACTATTCTTTTAATGGTGAAAATAAATGCATGTTCTATTGGTTCAGTGTGCCTGATCAAAAGGAACAGGTATAAAATGTAATTTTGAGGTCATGGTGTTGTGCTAGATTACGTTCCTAACCAGGTTTTATTTTTATGTTTTGCTGTTAGCTTTAATTAGAAAAGAAATGAAGCTCAGCTTTGACAAACTGAGGAAATCACAAACGGTGCAATCAATGAGTGAAGTTCCTGGAGTAAAAAGGAATTGCTCACCAGAGTGTAAGCACACTGCCTCACCTCCCTCCCAGATAGCCAGTGAGTTTAAGGTACGTAACATTCCTGTTGACTGTACATGAGAGAAGTGAAGAATTGGTTCAATAATTAATACAATTGGATAGAATAATGTGGCAGCTTTTTTCAAAGTATGTCTCTTAATCTATAGTCCATTTCTACAGGGTCTGATGAATTGAGTGTATAATGTGGGAATGTTTTATTTGTGTAGTTTCTACATTATGTGCAGGCTGTTACGAGAGATTTTTATTCATGTTTATTTTCTTGCAAATTGATTTTTGTAGCATGTAATTTAGCAATTTAATGTCATTTGTTGGGATGCAAATTGCCTGGAAAAAATTATTTAGCCTGCTGCTGTGAGAATTTTGATTAACTCTTGCATTTTGAATTCATGTATCTTCAGTAGTCTTGAATCTTTCCATACTTATGTTAATTTAACTCTTTAAGCATTTGTTGTGGAATATGTGGAAAACCAGTAGCAATGGTGAAATTGTTTGACCTGCTCTTTCAGATTTTTTTATTTAGTTCGTACGACGCACAGAATGAGATGGTTAGTAGATTTAGAAAAGTGATTACACAGCAGAATCAGCTGCATAGATGGGTTACTGTCAGGACAGGTGAGAGGTAGTTTAAAAATCTTGGTGGCTATTCGTCTAATGAACAGTTTTTGGAACTGTTGAAGAGGATAGCCTCTCCAAGGAAAATGGAAGGGACAGTCAGTTGTTGGACACTTGAAATGATTCTTGTGTTAAGCAACATTTGACAAAATTTAGTAGAATTATTGTTATAGCGGTCTCTCCTATCAGAGGCATAGACAGGGGATTCTGTGGCAGTGAGTGTAAATTTAGGGTGGTTTGTTGCTTTCCTCGTGCTAGGATTAAGGACGGTTCTAAACTTTTCAAGCATATTGTTAAAAGGTGAGATTGAGAAGCCAGAAACTGCTGTAGACATTGGAGGAATGATATTTTTAGGGAAAAGATTAAAGCAATACAGAGTGAATTTAAGAGGTTAGGTGGAAGATTAAAAAATAGAACCTTAAATGTTTACGAACGTGTGATTAGAACGTCATATCTTTCACAGAGACTTGGTTGAGAGATAGACAAGACTGGCAGCTAAATGTTCTGGGTTTTAGGTGCTGCAGGAAGGACAGTAAAGGATGCAAGAAAGGATGGGGGTGGCATTTTTGATTAAGGAATACATTACTGCTTTAACTACATAAGATATTTCTGAAAAATTGTCTAGTGAAAATTTATGGGTACAAGTTAGAAATAAGGAAGGAAAGGTCATTTTGATGGGATTGTACAGTAGGCCCCCCCAAATAGTAAGAGAGAAATTGAGAAACAAATATATAGGGAAATTACTGATTTATGTAAGCATAATAAGGTTGTAATAATGCGGGATTTTAATGGGAGCTACTGTAGTGTGAAAGGTTTGGATGGTGAAGTATTTGTCAAACGTGTTCAAGAAAATTTTCTTAATATGTGGATCCTCGTACTAGAGAAGGAGCAAAACCAGACCTCTCTTTGGGCAATAAGGCAGGACAGGTGACTGAAGTAAAAGTGAGGGAACACCTTGGGTCTAGCAATCATAATTCTATTAGTTTCAAAATTGTCATGGAAAAGGATAAGCATTCTATAAAAGTTAGTGCTTAACTGGAGTAAGGCAGTTTTAGTGGTATGAGACAAGAACTTTTAAAAGGACATCTGACAAGTGGGAGACATTCAAGAGTGTGATGACGAGAATCCAGAGGCATTATGTTCCTGTTAGAATGAAGGGTAAGGCTGGTAAGATTAAGGAACAATGGATGAATAAAAATATTGAGGTTCTCATTATGAATAAAAGAGAATCTTATTTTAGATGTAGACAACTTGGATCAATTGAATCTCTTAATCAATATAAAGAGTGTAGGGGCATTCTTAAGAAGACAATCAGGAAGGCAAAGAAGAGAAATGAGAACTTCATCTGCCAATGCTAAGGATAATCCAAAGAGATTCTACAAATACATTAAGAGCAAGAGGGTAACTAGAGAGAGGGTAGGACTTCTTAAAGATCAAGGAGGTTGTCTTTGTGTTGAATCCCAGGAGATGGGAGAGATACTAAATGAATATTTCACATCAGTTTTTACTGTGGAGAAAGAAATGGAGTCTAGAGAATGCAGAGAAATAAAATTTGATGTCTTAAAAACAGTTCACATTACAGCAGTGAAGTTTGGGAGGTCTTGGAGAATATAAAGGTGGATAAATCTCCGGGACCTGATCTAATGTATCCAGAACGTTGTGAGAAGGGAGGAAATTGCGAGACCCCTTGCAGAAATATTTGCATCATCTATAACTAAGGGTCAGGTGCCTGATAACTGGAGGCTGGCTAATCTTTTTATTTATTTAAGAAGGGTTATAAGGAGCAACCGGGAAACTATAAACCTGTGAGTCTGACTTCAGTTGTGGGTACACTGTTGGAGGTGATCCTAGAATGTAGAATTTATGGACATTTAGAGGGGCAAAAAGTGATTAACAATAGTGAACATGATTTTGTGAGAGGAAACTCGTGTCTCACAGACTTGATTGAGTTTTTTGAGGAAGTTACCAAAAAGATTGATGCTGGCAGAGCAGTAGACGTTGTTTATTTGGATTTAATAAAGCCTTCGACAAAGTTCCGCTTGGTAGACTAGTTAGTAAAGTTATGTCACATGGAATTCAGAGCGAACTTGCCAATTGGCTACATAATTGGCTTAACAGCGGAGACAGAGTGATGGTGGAGGGTTGCGTTTTGGACTGGAGGCCTGTCACCAGGGATTGGTTCTGGGTCCCGTATTGTTTGTCATTTATATAAATGATTTGGATGAGAACATAGAAAGTATGGTTAGTGAGTGTGCAGATGACACCAAAATTGGTGGCATAGTAGACAGTGAAAAAGGTTTTTAAGATTACAAAGAGATCTTGATCAAATGGGTCAATGAATTGAAAAATGGCAGATGGAGTTCAATCCGCATAAATGCGAGGCATTGCATTTTGGTACAACAAATAAGGGTAGCACTTACACAATTAATGGTAGGGCATTAGATAGTGTAGAACAGGGGTCCTAGGAGTGCAGGTACATGATTCTTTGCAGTTTGCGTCGCATATAGACTGGGTGGTTAAGAAGGCATTTGGCACGCTTGCCTTCATTGCTCAGTCCTTTGAGTAAAGGAATTGGGAAGTTATATTGAAGTTGTACAGGACGTTGATAAGGCCTTTTCTGGAATACTGTATCCAGTTCCTGTTGCCCAGTTATAGGAAGGATATTATCAAGCTGGAGAGGTTTCAGAAGAGATTTACTTGACGTTGCCGCGTATGGAAGATTTGAGTTATAAAGAATGTATGTATATATCAGAATAGGGAAGGAGGTTTGATTGATGTGCCCATCCGTCAGGTTCAGGTGTATACTGACATTGACTGGCCTCACACTCGGGTTGAACCTTTGGCCGAGAGACTTGAAGTCTGCTGGTGTCACTGGGACTGAACCATAGAAGGAGGAAAATTCAAATGGCCACAAGTTCACACTCATCCTTAGTTCCTTATTTGAACAAATAGGACCTAAGCATTAGCCACTCACATAGTCCAAAGTCAGTCAGTCCATTCGAGGAGAAATAAATTTATGCCCTAAATGAATTAGGATTTTTGTTGAAATCCTTGTTAGATATGGTTTTGAATCCTGTTTTTTGACTTGCTGTGTATTCTTACCCTTTATTTATAGGAGGTGTTGAGTATTACATTGGGTCCCAGATACAGCAATGAAAGAGTGGACTACAAACAACTTGATGACTTATTAAGAAGGTTACGCCAAACACTAAGATGTAGACAGGTATATTTTTTTAAATTCAGATTTGTTAATTTAAAGAGATACATTCCCTTCAATGAATTATTAATGAACCCATAGTGTTATTAGAAATTACAGTTTATGAATATTTCCTCTTAACGGAGGAAGATAGTGGTTGGGAGACACCCTAGACTGGTGACCAGTTATGCTATGGTAATGGATGACAGTTGGACGAAGCAAGTTACTTCAACATTTCTTGAATCAAGGTTGTGTCTGGCATGGACAATTCTTAGGAAGAAAGATTTGTGTGAAGGTTTTATGAATGAGAGTCAAGAATGACCAAAGCTGGTCTACATTTTATATTTCTGCATAAAATGTTAAAGTTGAACTTGGGGGAAAAATCAATTAGGGTGAATATGTTCCATTTTCTCAAAAAATGGCCAATAATTCAGGTGGAATTCTCACAAGCATCATTTCATGTCTGGAAGAAAAGAATTAGAAATTAGTGTCAAAATGGCTAAGACTATACTTGGAGCATTTTCCATTGTTCTGGCCTTCCCATTATCAAAAAGGTATAGAAGCATTGGAGACTGTGCAAGGAAAGTCAGATAAGTACGTGTGTGAGAAAGGAATGTAAGATTTCCCGATGAAACTGACATTAAACCAGTTGTGACGTTTGAGCATCTCTGTGCTATATATTTCTGTGTAATCTTCTCATCACGGAACTCTAAACTGAAGGGGTGGCAATTGTGAACCGTTACTTTTTTTGTTTTGCAGTACATGTGTCCAGTAATTGAACAGTCCCTTGCCAAGTACACTGTGGAGCTTGCTTCTTTGTTAGGTATGTAATTTAAAAAAAAATAAATTTCTTTCCTTACTCTTCTTCCATCTCCAGGTGCAAATATTTCTGTATGCAGAAAATTGTACATGGTATTAATGTGGATGAGTTTTTTTTTTCATAAAGTATTTGTAGTTGAGAACAAATGTTTGACTTTTTTCTGGTAGAATAAGTTATAATGATCTGTAAAGGGATGAAGACATCTGTTTATAGAGATCTACAGGGCAGAAAAAGGTCCTTCAGCCCCTCACATCCGTGCTGGGATCAACCATCTAACTACTGTAATCCCATTTTCTAGTACTTGGCCAATAACCCTGTATGCCATGGCATCACACATACACATCTAAATACTTCTTAAATGTTATGAGGGTTTCTGCCTCTACCACCCTCTGGGTGAAAAGGTTTTTTGTCACATCTCCTCTAAACCTCCTTCCTTTACTTTAAATTTATGCTTCCTGGACATTAATCCTCCATCAAGGGAAAAAAAAAAAGGGTCCTCTGCAACCTGTCCATATAATGTGGATTCTAGAACTTCACACACCAGCTGTGGCCAAACCAGAGGTTTATACAATTCCAACATAACCTCCCCGCCTCACCTAATAAAGGCAAGTTTATATAATGTATTTCACTGCCCATGATGTATTTCTGAAGTATACACTCAGGCATCATCTCTTGATCATGCTCCTGTTACTGACTGTGTGGATTGAAAAACGTACTCTTTTTGTAGCCTCTTCTGAGTCACTAACAATTTAACTTGCTGCACAGTAATTGACAGTAACTGAATCCAAGTTGTTATGGTGCACAAAGAGGTCATTCATTGTGTTTTGTCTGGGTAGGCTGAGTATTTTGACTTAGTGCCAATCTCCTTCACATCCTTTCTATTTAATTAATCAACTAATGGCCTTTTGGATGTCTCAATTGAACCTGTCCCTCACTGTATTTCCAGGCAGTGCATTTCAAACCCGGATCATTTGCTGTGTATAAAATGACTTTTTTTGTTATTTTTTATTTGCTTCTTTTACAAAAAACTTTAAATCTGTGCCCCTTGTTTCTCGATCCTTTTTACGAGTGGAAAAGTGTCTCACCATTTACTCTGTCCAGGCCTGTCATGCCTTTGAAAGCTTTCAAGTCTCTTTTGCATTCTCCTCTCCAAGGAAAACAAACTTCCTTCTGATGTGTCTTCATCCCTGGAACTATTCATGTAAACACCTGCAAATTTGTTTCAGTTGATAGATGTAACTGCCTCTACCAGGCAGTTCCCTATTTAACAAATCTATTCAATTTGCTTGAAAGTTGTTGGTCTGTGTCATAGCTTAACTCTTAATCTATATTAAAAACTGAATAAAACTGATTAGAACTTAACATGTGAACCCAAGTTTTCATGCACTTGGTCTACATTTCCTTTACGCAAAGTGTCCTTACCATCTGCCCCTTACTGATCAGTTACACCCTAGGCTGCTTTATATCTAACCGAGATAAGCAATTTAATGGAAGTTAGTGCCTGACAGTGCAACACTCAGCCTAGATTAAATTCTGGAGTAGGATTGAAACCTTAATCTCATGGACGTGATGTTGCCAGTGAGCCACCATTAACCATTGTAGCTGTCTTCGACAGTGTAACTGTATTTTTGTACTATTACTCTAGTTTATACTTTGTGTAACTATCCTGTCTTTATTTTGAGACTGCATTTGGGGAGCTGACTGACTTTTTTTCAGTTATCCAGTTAATGCAGTCTTCTTTGCTCACGTCATAATACAATTATATCATGATTTTTAATGTACAGTGGCATAGAGGAAATCTTCAGCAGTGGAGTAGTTTACTGTTACTTTTCAATATCTTCAACTCTACCCAACTACAGTCTCACCTGGTTTTTTTCCCCACAGTTGGAGGAGAAGTTCCACTCTCTAACCATAATATGAAGAAGGATTCCAGAGACCAACCTTCTCTTTGCAAGTCTATCCAGCATTTGCTTAGCTTCCTCCTCACTTTGTGGAAGGATGAATTCTGTGTGCCTATACCATTTCAACTAATATTTAGTGAGAAGAACATTTCATATACAATAGAGGCAAGAAATCGAAAGGTAATTTTTGAAAAGTGCTTTTGAAATACAATTCGTTTCATTTTGAAGGAATTCATGATATTCTGTAATGCTCTGATAGACTTTTTTCAATTCTTATTTTGAGGCTTGCTAGTTATACTTGGAGACAGACTCCCAAGTCACAGGTTTGCTCACAATCTGTTGATTAGTGGCATGAGGCATTGACTTTGCTCGATGTGGCAATATGAACTCAGTTAAATATCTGTAATGTGTTCCCTGTGCATTTGTATTGATGAAAGAAGAAAGACATGCTCTCAAAGCTTTTATCCTTGTACTCATCAGAAAAAAATGACAAGAGCTCGAAGGGCCAAAATGCCTAATCCTACACCTATTTTCTAATACCAAATCTCAACGGGAATAGCAATTTATACTACATGAGAAAAAAGTGAATATGGTTTGACAAGTTAACTGTAATTGATAGAGGTGTTGCCATAAAGGATGTACAAGGAAACAGTTAACTGTCAAAAGATAGTAGGAACTGCCGATGCTGGAGATCTGAGATAACAAGGTGTAGAGCTGGATGAACACAGCAGGCCAAGCAACATCAGAGGAGCAGGAAAGCTGACGTTTCAGGTCTAGACCCGTCTTCAGAAGTCTGAAGAATCCTTAGAGTGAATGAATCAGCAGTTTTCTCAACTACAAGTTGAGGAAAGGGAACTTGTTTGAGTGCTCCATTCAAAGGTGAATTTAAATGCAGGTGAGGAAGGAAATTCTTGCAAGAGGCTGCAGGTTGAAAGATAGCAAACATATCCATGTACTGGAAATATGCAAAGGCTTAGTGGTTAGAAGTCATTCTATTGGAAATGTATTTCTTGTGGAAGCTAAGATGTTAATGAGGCTTAGACATAAGTTCATGGTGTTATATCTAGATTGTCATGATATAGTGATGTGCTCCAAATGTCTAAAACTTCCTTAATGACATACTTTTTATTTGGGTAGCAATGTTAAACACAAACAGGAAATTGCTATTGCTCTGCAAGTCCATCATCATGTATGTAAAAAAAACTCTCAGAACTGGTTGTAACAATTTACTCAACTATTTGGCCAATTCATGTTGTGTAAAAGGGACATCACTGTGTGCACCTTTTGCAGTTGTAGCTATGGACTCATTAGATGAGGATCACTTGCACCACCAGGCAGGTCATTACTCTTGCACAACTTTAACAGGTGCTCTTCTAGCTTGCTTTGGAGCAGGAGTGTGCAGTACTTCCTTGTGGCTGTTTGCAACTGGCAGACTATTTTGGAATTCTCTTCTTTCAAAGACAAAATCTGTGAATATTTTCAAGGCAGTGGCAGATACTTGTTAAACAGAGGAAATGCTATATAGTAGTTGGGAATGTGAAATAATATTATCAGCCATGATTTTACTGAATGGTAGAGCAGGCTTGATGGGCTGAGTGGCCTGCAGTTGCTCCAAATTTATAATTTTGTATGATATTTTAAAAGTAATTTCATTGACCAATGTGGGAATTTAGTCATGTAAAGTATTTCAACTTAGGGTATGATTTTTTTTAAATTGTTTGGTTGTTCCTGGTAAGGGGCCTAAGGAACATGACTCCAAATTTAACACTGATTCCTGTGGGAGGTAGGAAGTCCTTACTTAATGTACAAATAACCAGACAAATAAATAATTGGTTTCATTCCATAAGAAATCAAATGCCTGGTAAATGACTGCAATTTCATAAAATCAACATGAGCTGAAGAGACATTTCTGAGCCTAGGAAACCTCAATTAGTTGTTTTAAGATCCTTTGTTAATTTGGGTTTCCTGAATTATCCTCTCCAAAATAAAACTTTGGTCACATTATTGCTTCACTAATTACTACATTGCAATTGTCAAGAAGACTGATGTAGACAATTCTTTCCTAAGTTTGGTAAATTGATAAGTTGATAAATTTGGAAAAGTGGTAAACACAGGTTGATGCAAATTGCCTGCAATAGGATATAGATATGCAAGCAGAATCCAGATGGAATTTAGTACAAAGAAGTGAGATTCAATCTGGACTTAATGGTACCAGTTCTGGCAATAGAGGGACTTGGGAGTTCATTTTTTTGTGGATATACTCCTTTATAACTTTTTCTTTGGTTTCAGTTATCGTCTCCCCTAAAATATCTCAGATGTTCTTGGTTTCTTTTCTCCCCGCTTAGTTATGTTGGAATGAACTCTTGTTTCTAATTCGTGGCCTTACTGAGCAGGGGCTGATGAAGCTTACAGAAATAGAGAGTTGCTGGAGAGACCTTTCACGGAAGCCTTGGCCTGAGGTAAATGACTGCAATTTCATAAAAGCAACATGAGCTAAAGAGAAATTTGATGTGTTCTGTTTCTGTTCAATAAGTTTTCCTCTTAACGGAGATGCATCTAACAGGAGAGACTTTTTAAAACTAATTCTTTTGCTCCTTCCAGGATTTTGTTCTTGTGATAGAATCCGTATTTGCGATGTGTTCAGAACTGGCAAAGATGGATAAAATGGAAGACCAGGTGCTAAATAAAACAGCAGTGCTTAGATAGTCTTCTACAAAAAACACCTAGCCTTATGAATTGCAAAATACTGACAGCATAAGTGCAATTCATTTGGGGTGGGCAAGGTTATTTTATATATTTTACTGATGCTGCTAAATTTAATAAAATATTCATTTGTGAATATTTAATATAGTTCACATTGGACTATTTCTAACAATTTTTCCATTTGGCTATTATTAATGCTGTGATATTGGCATGGAGTTTCTGTTAATGATGAACTGACAATCCTGACTGATCATTCTGCTGGTATTTAACAAAGCAATAATAAGTAATTAGACATCAATTTCAGAATGGTACCTTCAATAGAGGATTGGGGCAAGCACTCATGTTGAAGGATGGACACTGAGATAAACCAGGAAGTAATGATAAATTAAATATTCTTAAAATCCTGTACTGAAAGATGGGCTACAGAGAGAAAATAAAAGCTCGTAATAAAGCTTAAAAGGGCAATTTGTCTCATTCATTGGGCCAAACAGGAATTCCAAGCTTCAATATTTATATATTTTCAGGCCCTTTTCTCCTGCAGTTCTGTGGTAAACTCTATAGTCAAATGTAGAAATCTGCTGATTTCCTACACAAGCTTTGCTACGTCAGCATCTAACTCACTCAGCTGGCATTAAAACAAAGTATAGTTTCTGCCCTGTAGGTGGCCATTTTGATCTTGTTAAATATTGCTGGAGAGAGATGTTGCTGTATTTTTATATTAAATTGTTTTGATAATTTGACACTCTTACATTTATCCTGAGGAGTATAAGATACATGCATTAGAGTCATTGACAAGGAAGGCCAGGCTGGAACACAGAATCCTTGAAATTCCTGCATTTAACTGTCCATGTATGGATGCTCCAATCCAGTTATTTATGATCTGGTATGGGGAACAGAAAATGCAGCCTGGCTAGTGCTACATACTACAAAGTGAAAGACAGTACTGAATTTGTCCTCTATGTACATGTTTCCAACCACAATAAAGAAATGATCATGCAATATGTAGAATGTGTGTTGAAATGATTTTTATGACTTCCTATCATTTAACTAGCAGAAACTTTTGGATTGAGTTCTGTATCATCAGCAAAGCTGGGAGATGTGCCCTGAATATCCCACCACTAATAAACACTCTTTTACTGTAACAAACTGCATTTTTTAAATCAAAGCATTTATATCTTTAATGACCAGAAAAGATTTAATGTTCATTCTTAAAAAAAATTCAAATTACTTAATTCCATGGAATTAGACAATTACAGTTTCAGAATTAAATGTATAAAATGCTTCCATTCATGTATAAATAAGTATAATCTGGATTTTGCATACAAAAATAAAAATCTTAACTGTACATTTTTATAGAAAATCTGGAACAGCCACTGTGAATGTTGTGTGACTTGTCCCCAAGGAGAAATTGTCCTAGGGACTGAGCTAGCAACTGCAAGCAGATTCAGATTAATTATAAAATACAAAAATCTGTACAAACTATATATAAAATATACTCACAACCTTCAATGTTACTGATTTTGAGAGAGTTAAACAAGTAATAATTTGTTGAACCCCCAAGTCTGATTAATACAGCAGGGAGGAGGGTCCACCTCTACTGTACCCTAGCTGTATAGTACAGGTCTTTATACCAATAAATCAACAGGAGAACAAGCTGGCTAGGTTGGCAATGCACAAAGGTTGTTGCTTAGCAACTGACCCCAACAGTCTGGCAGGGAGAGCAGGAGCACCAAGGTCAACCTTTAAAATCAGACAGGAAGAACAAGATCAGCTTTATTCACCATTTTGGCATCAACATATTTTTTAAAAAACTGATGTAGTTTACCTGAGTCAAGTAGATTAGTCTTGTTATTTCCTTTCCATTCTGTGTGTCTGGCTGCAGAATCCAGCCACTTGGCATCATTTCCCCTCGTACCAAGTCCTTCACAGGCCGCGGCATTGATTCCTCATAGATTGACTGCATTGCTAGAATGTACTGCTGATCCTGGTGAAAGAACGATGGGTTCAGTGTAAATGCAATCTGTTCTCACTGCCAAACCATTATCTTTCCGTTAATGGGTGGAGATGATAGGTTTCAATCCCCTACTAACCTATTGGGATTTGTGTGAAGTGTGGGCACTGTGGTGATGTTACTGAAAATGTTGAATCATAGATCATAGAATCCCTACAGTGTGGAAACAGGCCCTTCAGCCCAACAAGCCCACCCAATCTACACATCCCTGAACACTACGGGCAATTTGGCATGGCCAATCTACTAGCCTGCACATCTTTGAATTGTGAGAGGAAACCCACACAGACAGTCGCCCAAGGGTGAAATCGAACCTGGGTCCCTGGTGCTGTGAGGCAGCAGTGCTAACCACTGAGCCACCAGGGTCTACAAATTGATTTCTTATTAGAATGCATGCTGTGCCTTCTGAAAAGCTAGAGCATCATGCCTGCAGCTAAATAAGATCACATAACCAGTATAGAGAACAAATTTTGCTATCCCTGAACTTAACGATGGTCCTCTGGTACGGATACAGGATTTGTTTACAGGAGTTACTGGTCTACAACTGAAAGCTGTAGTAAGTATGAAATGACTTGATGCCACGACTACCTGACTGACTTGGAGTTGCTATCAGTGGAATGCACATTAGAAAAGTAATTTATTGGCACACTTAATGTGCTTTATGTGACTTCTTTCACAAAATAAGTACGGTATTACATATCTGAACACTTTGCAATATTTCTCTGTTAGTGGGGCAGCTTAGGGAATAAACATTAGGATGATAAACAGCTGCTGGGTGGTTAAGAACAATCCAGAGAAGGCCTGATAAATGAAAAAATGAGTGGGTACAGGGAGTTAAGGTGATTTACATACACATGAACATATAGATTAGGAGGCTATTTAGTCCCTTGAATTGCTCCACTATTCAATAAGATCATGGCTGATCTCATTGTAACCTTGACTCCCTTGTCCTTCAAGAATCTGAACCTGCTTCCTCTTCTGAAGAGAATTTTACAGATCAAGAAACGTCTGAGAAGAAAAATTCTCTTCAACTCCATCTTAAATGGTAGCCCTCATTTTTAAATGAGTTCTCCCCAGGTTCTAATCTCTCACAATCAAAGACATTCACTCTGTTAAGTCCCCTCAGAATCTTATGTTTCAATAAGGTTACATCTCATTCTTCTAATCTCAAACAGGCTGAACTGTTCACCCCTTCCTCATGGGATAACCCACTCCCATTCCAGGAATTAGGCATTTGAACCTTCTCTGAATTGCTTCTAATGCAATTATATCCTTTCTTAACTAAAGAGACTAAAATATAATTTGAATATTATTACTTTTCAATGTGGGGGTGAACAGCCTTTTCTAGTTCTCTTGTGATCCTTGCGTGCATGAGGTGAAGAATAGGCCATTCAGCCCATCTAGACAGCCCCGCATGGCTGATTGAAGTATCAATGTCCTTTACTTCACTTGTATGCCACTAGTAATCAGAAATCCATCAATCTACCTCAAAGACAGAGCTTCCACAGCACTCTGTGTAGTGAATTCCAAAGATTCACAAACCCTCTTGAGTAAAAAGAAATTGTCCTCATCTCAGACCTCACATGAGAGAATATTTCCCTAGGAACAGAGGGCATAGTCTCAGAATATAGAGGTGTCAATTTAAGACAAAGTTGAGGAACAATTTCTTCTCTCAGACAGTTGAAAGTCTTTGCACTTTTTTCCAACAGAAAGCTGTGGGAGCAGAATCCTTGTGTATATTTAAGGCTGAAATAGATCCTTAATCAGCAGAAGAATCAAAGGTTATGGGGAAAAGACAGGAAGGTGGACCTGAGGTATATCAGAACAGCCATGATCCTAGTAAATGGTGAACTCGAGAGGCCAAACAGTCTGCTCCTGTTCCTATTTCTTATTGTTTACAATGTCTATTGGCTCCCTATAAATTTTGTTCATAAAATCTTCGAAAAACTCAAAGTTTGTCAAACAGAATTTCCCATTCTTAAATCCATGCTGACTATGCCAATCAGACCATGTTTCTATTTATCCATTCATTATAATTGTTTCTAACATTTTCCCCACAACATTTGTAAGGCTAACAGGTCTATAGTTTCCTGTTTTCTTTCTTGGCCTCTTATAAGGCGGGGTGACATTTACTACTTTCCATCCACAGGGAGCATTTCAGAATCCATCTAATTTTGGAAGATAATCACCAATTCATCAACTATCACTACAGCCACATCTTTCAACACAATGGAATACAGACCATTAGGTTGTAGGAATTTATCAACTTTCAGCCCCATTAATCTTCTTACTAATTCTATTTTCCTTCACTTTTTGGATCTCTGGGAGAGATTTCTGGTATCTTCCTCAGTTAAAACAAATTAATTATTGAGCTTGTCCACCATTTCTCGATTGCGCTTTATAAATTCAAGTCCAGCGACAAAAATGGTAGTTGTCAATCAAATAACGCAACATGTCCATTGCTCTAACAGGAGGAATCCATCTCAAAAGGAAAGTACCTTACCTCTTTTGCCTCCACGCTGATGCAGCAGAAGTCCCTAGGCTGGCTGAGGTAGCACACAGAGGCATCATTCACAAAATAAACTTGAGGAAAAATAATCAAACAGGGCAGGATGAATTTTCAGTGAAACATGAATAATATGTTCTTTTATTTTAGTTCATATGGTGATTCTGAAACATAATCACATGAGGCTACAGAAGTTTGTTACACAAAAGCAAAAAACCAAGCTATCTAAATACAGAAGAGTTTGGAATATCTTAAAAACACAAAGCAAAACAAAGTCTCAACTCCAGAGAGATTAATCCTTCTATCAAATCTAAATTTGAATTAGCTGATTTCTTCCCGGGAACTGTGCAGTCTTCTTACCTGAATACCCTCAAAATAGAAATCTTGGATTTTCCTATCTTCTAATAACTCACAGATTTCTAACCAATCTCTCCTGGGCTGGAAGTTGCACAAACTAAATTTTTATCCTGAGGTAACTGTGCTCCACTACTGTAAGGAGAAAAACAATACTTGTTTCTGACTCTGTCAAGTCTCCTTTGAGCTGCCCGCAAAGCTTTCAATCCCTGGGTTTCCTAAACTAGGATTAATCCTCGATTATCCTAAACCAAATACAAATTCAGTGTTTACTCCACATGTTGTAAACTACCACATTAAAGACAATTTTCCATTAACACTCCAGGGGGTGTCAGATACTGGATTAGGACACCATTGCAGAAGGTCTATCTGACCTAGCTATTTGTCAAAAAATACCTTCATATATGTAACCAATTTAAAGTTTGTCACTATTTTAAAATTCACACTCTTAAAAATGAGATATATACACCAAGATTAGGCACCTATCATCTGACATACCACTTCTTGATCTTTTACCAGTTACTTTGATTCTGAGTCCTCTGATTAATAATTCTTCTGCTGCTAGCCCAAGAAATTTCTCCTTACTTGCTCCATCAAAACCCTTCTACGTTATCTCATTTTCACTCCAAGGAAACCAATCCTAGTGTCTCCACAGAACTGATACTATTGTCCTAAGTCTTCTTTGCATCTTCTTTCAAGCCTGACACCATTCCTAAAGTGCAGTACCCAGAAATGTTCTCAGTCCTCCAATGGTTTATAAAGATAAGCACGAGTTCTTTGCTTTTGTGCTCTAATGCATCTATTCACAAAGCCAACGATTCCCCAAATATTTTTAAAAGCCTGATCAAAATATAGACCCCAAGTCTCTGTTCTTGAACCCATTTTTAAAAAGGTACTCATTTAGTTTACGTTGTTTCCATTCTTCCTTCCAACCCAAAATGTTTCACGTCACTGTAGACAAAAATATGGCTGATGTAGGGAAGTGAGAGATCATGTACTCTGGTCAGAAGAATCAAAAGGCAGACTATCATTTAAATGAAGAGAGACTCCAAAAGATACAGCACAGAGGGAGTTGGGTGTCCTTGAAGCATGCAGGTGCAGCAAGAAATCAAGGTGGCAAATTGAACCTTGGCCTTTATTTCTGGGGGTTTTCAGTATTAGAGTTTAAAAACAGGGAAGCCTTCTTGCAACTGTGTAGAGTGTTTGTGAGGCTTCACCTGGAGTACAGTGTACAGTTTTACTCCTTGCATTTAAAAAATAATGTATTGGCATTGCAGGCAGTTCGAAAGAGATTCACTGGGCTGATTCCTGGGATGAAGGGGTTGACTTATCACAAATAGCTGAACAGGTTAGGCCTTTATTCACAACAGTTTAGAAGAATGAAGGGTGATCTTATTAAAACATATAAGATTCTGAAGAGGATTGACAAGATAGATGTTGAGAAATATTTCTACTAATGGGCGAAGTGGGCGACGTAGTTACAGAATAAGGAGACACTCATTTAAAACTGAGATGCAAAGGAATTTCTGCCAGCGGGCAGTGAATGTTTGGAGGCTAGATCAATGAAACTATTTAAGGAGGATAAAAATAAAGATAGATTTTTGAAATATCAAAGAGTTGACTGCTATGATAAGCTGGCATGAAAGAGGCCTGTGGAAGATCAGTCATAATTGTATGAAATGTTGAGGTAGGTTCAAGGGGCCTAATGGCCTATTCTTGCTCCTAGTGTTCTTATTTCACTCTCTGAACTAAATTCCAGCTGCTGTGTGTCCTTGCCGTTTACTGCATTTAGATTTGGTTCCTCTGAAGCCTTTTAAAGATGCCTTGTACAGCAAAGGTATAGAAAGAGCAGTGTCCTAATTACAAACCTTGGTGAACAGTACTGGACACCAGCACGTCACAACATTTTTGTGTCCTTTAGCTAATTTTGTGCTAATGTTGTCACTGCACCCCTAGTTCCATGAGCTTCAAGTTGATATGTAGCCCTTTATGAAACACTTCTTGAAATTTCACAGATACATCAGTGACAATATAACTCTCATCAATTCACTCTGTTACTTCAACAAAGAACTCCATTAAGTTAGTTAAACTTGATTTCCCTTTGGCATTAATCATTGTTTCATGAAAAAAATTCCCACTTTGCCTCTGTTCAATTTTGAACATCTGCATCTATCTTAACCTTGTCTGCTCTATTTGCCTTTCTTATAGCCCAGTGTAAAGGTAAGTAGGTGTGAATGTCATTCAGCATGGTGCTCCTATGTACTGGCCATTAAAATGGATTAGAAGTAAGTGCAAAGATGTAACAGGACTGAAAACTGCCTACTTATTCACACGTCCCTGGCAGATTCTCCAGTGGTTTTCTATAATGCAACCATTGAACAGATATCCAGAGAACGTGGGCTTTATTCACATTATTTACATATCCTTAAAATATACTTTGCAACAAGTTATACATTGAGACATGCAGTGTACTGTAGTTTGAGATAGTGCAGCAAACTGCTTTGGAAATCCTTACTGTGACACTGTGGTAGGAATGCCAGAACATGTTGACCAAGCGGCATCATGCTGAGCACGAATGTACTTGCTAATGCCCTTACCAGCATCACCAATGAAATGTGAAAAACGCCAGGTTCTCATCTGGCCATGCTCCAAAATGATTGTGTGATTCCTGACGCTAACAATGAAGCATGGCTACATTGGAGAATTTGAGATTACTGATGATCACAGAGATGGGAAAATAGTGGTCAATCGCACTGGCAGACTGAACAAATGTGTTATTAGCCCCAGATTTGGTATTCAAGTAAAAGAGCTTGAAAGGTGGCAAAATGATCTCCTGCCTTCCCGTCAGATTGGGTACTATTAGGGCTAATACTGGCTGACAGTAGTTAGAGGGCTTAGGAAAATATTTGCTAAATGCAGTCTTCACAAGCAGAACAATAGTAGCCTTCACATACAGGGCTTGGATGTTCAGTAAATAACCTCAAGTTACTTCTTGAGAAAGGCTTTGGATGAATACTAAGAACTCCCTTCAAATATTTCAAAATTCACCGACAAAAAGTTATCCTGAAATATCCTTGGAAATATCAGTTAACTGAAGTCTAGTGGTCAATAATAACCAAGCTATTAGCAGCAACCAGGTGCCTGTGGAGGCCAGAAGATGTAATCTTAGAGATAGCAGAGTAGATGCCCCTCATTTCCTCAGAGCAGTGACTTGGTCAGGGTCCTTGTTCAACACTGGTCTTCTGCAGGAATTCACATCTGATATTCTCAGAGTGAAAGCATCATCAAGCAGGCACCAGGCGCACACCAATCAGAACTTGCAGAGAAACATAGGAGGACTTGAGAAATCAAATGCAGTTGGTTAGTGAGGAGACCAGTTTACTCTAGCCAGCTCCCAGGTGCAGGCTATACACTGGAATAACAGGGCTACTGCTTACAAGGAACCAGGGCAGATTAAGATCAATCAACAAAACTGATCTCACACAACATTGCTCAGAACAACCAAACTTAGATGACCTGAAGCCATGGAAGTAATTGCATGAATTCTTTCCAACATCTTTTTTCTTGAATTTGCATTTGTCAAATGATATTATTTTGCTATTTCAGGATGTCATTGGGGTTAGTAGCATCTTACCAAGCTCAATGCCATTTCCCAGTTGCTGATGTACCTTCACCGTTTTCACTGAGCTGTCGTACAGCTGCCTCTTACTGTGATCTTTCACAACGTACCACACACAGTGTAATGGTTTCTCAATCAGACCAACACCCAGAAAGGCATGCTTGGTTGGGCAGGCATATTTTTTGTAGAATATTTGGATCCCTTTTTCTGTGCAGTGATATCTAATGAACATAACAAATATGAAATCACAGAATGTTCATTTGACGGATCAAAACAAAGTAGATAGCATTTCTCAGAGATAGTAAGAACTGAGTCAGAGATAACACGGTCTGGAACTGGAGGAACACAGCAGGCCAGAAAGCATCAGGGGAGCAGGAAAGTTGATGTTTCGGGTCCTTGCAGCATTTCTTCTGCTTTTGTCAAAACTTCAGTACTGTTCTGCTCGAGATGTTCTGACTCAGCCTTACCACACCAAGGATTACAACATAAATGAAACTGTTTTACCGAGTACTCAATGTGGGCAATTGTATACTTTCTCTATATTAGACTTACATAAGAGATATACAAGAGAAATAAAGAGATGTATCAACTAGGTTTATTTACTAAACACAAAGCTTCATATATCATAAACAAAACTTTTCATTGAAAGATGTAAAACTGGTTAACACCTCAAGTTTGTAACAGGAAAATATGGATGTCCGAAAACACACACACACACGCATACACTGGTTAAAGAGAAAGATACTGATTTTACTCTGCAGAGATTTGTTTTTGGGAAAAAGAAAACACTTCTGATCAATAAAGTCTTAGTTCTTGAAGGCAACAAAAAGGGATGGTGTGATGTATTCAGACTGTCAATTTGATGATTTAGCACATGAAGACTATGTCACCAAACAAAAAGCAAATGTCTTTGAGATCTTTGTCGATATAACTTGCTCAGGAAGCACATTATCAGGGTTTCTTCCAGATATTTTATAGGTGGCCAGTCAGGATTCAGATTGGACCAGAGCTCCAGCACCACACTGGACTCATAACAGAGGGTTTTCAGAAACAGGGTTGCTGAGCTGTGTAGCTCATTTCCTTCCATAGGCCAGCCACCAAATGCAAACCCCAAACATTCTCCAAAATAGAAGGAGCAACCTGATAGTAGTCAGTACATGCACAGGGTCTGCAGTAACCACACACTTATCACAAAACATGTGATTTGCAAGAAATGGCTTGTTAAAAAAAAATCCATTGTCCTTTCATTGACATCCAAAAAATATCCAGCATCTACACCCCTTAAACTCACTTCCAAAGAAATATTAAATCAGAAACCATCATAATGGCACAAATCTAGGCAGCAATAAAGATCTGGAGAATGCTCTCCTGTTGCAACAGTGCCTCAGACAATATTTATCCCTCAACCAATAACACTAAAACACATGATTTGTCATTATCATATTATGGTGTGTAAATTGGTTATTGCATTACAACAAGTGCTTCAAAATACTTCAAAGTTGCTATGGGAGAACATGCTTAAGAACAAGAAAGCTTTGACTTGTCAGGGTAATATACCTACCTCCAGCCAGCTGCTGATTTGCCATGAACAAGATTGCTGAGATTGTTGATGGATGCCGCCATGACCTGAAATGACAAGAGACCAGATGGTTTCTGTGGACAATGTAAATGTGTCCTGATAGCTGAGGCGTTCAAAACCTGTGACCTCTCTTACTCACAACGAGGGCAGTAAGCGCATGGGAACACCACCCATCTCCCAGGTCTCCTCCAAGTCACACCAAAGGCAACCAGGGATGGATAATAATATTTAGCCTTGGCTGTGAAGACTGGAGAATAAAGAGCAAGAAAAAAAGAACACTGTGCAGTATGGCATTTGGCGCCATGAGATCTATCATCTGGGCGGAATTACTGCATTCTGGTTGGGAGAAATGCTGTTACAAGTGGGTCCATTGCTCAGTGATTTACAGTGATGAAGATCACCTCATATTGTAAAAGAACTATCCAGTCACTCCAGTTGGAATTGTACTTACAGGTAGACAATGCAAAAATCAGGCTCAGCCATGATCCTCTCAGAGTTAAATAGCCTGTTGAATCTCACTCGCTAAGGTAACATCAAGAATGAGCCACTCAAAAGAGGATTGGCAGCTTCAGCCGTGACAGAGACAGCCAGCAATCCTTGCCAAAAAGATATTTTCAGCAACACTACCTGGAAACATGGGAAGACGTACCTCTGCTTTAAAAGAAGCTACAGTGTGAGTTGCCAAATCCTGGTATTTTTTAAGGTAGTTAGAACTTGCATTGTGACTGATGTCTTTTGCTGTAATCCCTGAGACTGATTCAATAGGTGAGCAGGAAGCTGCAGTAAGAAAATGAAATATATGTAAATATATACTGCCCTCTTCTGAAACATGTTCAGTGCTCCATAAGTCCAGCTACAGTTTCATTTGTTTTCTAATCCTGCAATCCCTTGTCTTGGCCAGATGTCATAGCCTTTCAAAACCACAAAATCTCTAAGCAGTACTCAAAGAGAGTGAACTTTGGTATTTTAGTGCAGAAGTCAGCAAACTATCTGTACTATATTCCACAGGCTTTTAAAGGAGCAAGCTGAATGCTGGAATGCTTATTGAGTTGTATAATGCTGTAATCCAGTGGTGACTTAAACCTGTATTAGACTATACCAAGACCATAGGTACACAGCTTAAATGCTACTATTGCAGAAAGAATATTCAGTTGTTAACTTGGGCGATTTTTGTCATGCACTTTGCTGGGATAATTTCATGCCCACACACTTGCCTACAGGAAGCCATCTGTTTGAACTGGCCAACTGATCTGCTAGACTTGCCTGAAACAGCCCAGTGAGTAGGCATGTGAGGCACTGCCACCAGTCTTGGACCAATGATTATTAGGAATGTGTAAGAGGCCACTATTGGAGAAGTGTAGATATTTTGGGAGGGGTTTGGGGTTGAAGGACATTACAGAGATAAGGCAGCCGTGGAAATAAGAGGAGAATGTGTAAAACTGACGTGTTGCTGAACTAGAAGCTGCTGAGGGTGAGTAATCACTGATGCGACAGGTGAATGGAGGTTGGTACACATTAAGATATGGACAGTAGAGTTTGGGGTGTTTATAGAGGATATTTACTGTTACTCACCATGAATACTTTGGACAGTCACATTTGCTGGACAGTCTGTTACATTAACTTGTGATCTTCGATATGCTGTCCTCCCTCTACTGGGTATCATGGCATCAATACCACTTTTGTTCTAGGATTAAAAAGATGATAATAAAATGACGAGGAACTAGAATAAACACATATCAGTTAATGTAGTGTAAAACAAAAGCATGAATCCTGAATCTAAACAGCATGCACAGCAATACAACTCCAAATATCATGTACTGAGTGTGGAATTTGGAGGGGCAAAATGTCTAGCTCATTATTCTAGTTAGACAGAACTTAAAATCTTGTGTTACCAATCTACAAGGCAGATGCATCTCCACCATGCGAGTCTCCTGTATTACCTGAAGCTCATCATCCAGAACTAGGTAACTTGCTCAATAAGCAGCAAATACACTAGTTTTAAACATTCACTTCCGCCCAACCTGCACACAGTGGCAGCAGTGGATGCGATCTTCTGAACCCACGGCCACTTCCGTCTAGAAGGACAAGGGCAGCAGATACATGGGAACATCATCACCTACAAATTCTACTCCAAGCGACTTACCATCCTGACTCGGAAATATATTGCCATTCCTTCACTTCAATATCCTAGAATTCCCTCCCTCAGGCCATTGTGGACTGCAGCTGTTCAGGAATGTAGCTCATTACCATCTTCTCAAGGCTGACTAGGAATGGGCAATAAATGTTGGCCAAGTCAGCAACGCCCACGTACTAAGAATTAATTAAGAGGAGACCTGACTGTGGACGACAATTTTAAAATTTTACCATTTACCAACAATTTTACCATTTCTAAAATACAGCATAAGATCAGGTTCCTTGCCCAACTGCTCTGATTTTGCATTAAGATTTGCAAGCAGTAAAGAGGATGTTTAGAAGAGGATTAAAGTAAGAAAATTTTACTTTAGTTATCACAGTATGATATTTTAGAATATTTAAATTTCATTGGGATTTCAATATAATTTATTTCTGTTCTGCCTGCAGTTACATGAATCATGTCTGTCGGATCTCTCTCTTTATTACAGTGTGCCTGGCTGTATCTTTAGATTATATCGTACACAGATTATATCGTACAAATGTTGCCTTATGCACTACATGATGATCTGTGGAGATCCAATGTAAAAATGATCGCAATAGTCTATTGCAGAGCATGTATTTTTCTGAGTAACTAAAACATACAGAAATCTGATACTGTTAATCTCTGATACAGTTTACAGAATGAATATTCTGTCCCAATGCCATGAGAATGTTGCATTGTTAGAGGTGCCACCTTTTGGGTGAGACCTTGCCTACCATCTCATAACACAAGAGATTCTCGTGATACTTTTTTGAGTAATGATGGATCTCTCCCTGGTGTCCTGGCTAATCCCTATTCCTTGACCACCAACACTACTAATTCAATCATCCAATTGTTACTATCATTGCTAGGGTGGGGTCTTGTTGTGCACAAACTCATTACCAGTTTCCTGTTTTGCAATAGTGGTATCACTCTATTGACAGTAAAGCACTGTGAACTGCCCTAAGATAGATGCTGTATAAATGCTGTTTGACAAATAGCATAACTTAGATTGAAATAATGTGGTTCTTGGACCAAACTGGTATACTTGGTGCAAGAATAAGGCAAACAAATTGAAAAATGCCCTGAGTTCTCATCATCTCTTCTCATTTCCCAGCAAGTGAAGTCTGACCTTGGTTTGAGAGTTGTTGTCTGGAGAGGCTGTGTTGCTACTGCTGTAGCCTGATGTGGGGTTGGAAAAGAGACTAAGAGTCGATTTGGTGCACAAACTGCTTCTGCTAGCTTCGTTCTTCACCCTTCCTTTCTCCTGTTGAAGGAACAAGTGCAGCAAACATTCAATAGTTAATGTTCTGAGTAATAACCAGCCCAATAAATCCATTACTACTCTAAATTTAAGATTAATAAGAACAATACACGTGAAAGATATGGAGAAATTTGTCAGAAAGTGTGTGCGCGCACACACACACGTTTACACACTTTTACATTAATCGCTAGATAAGTAATTGTGACAGGTGGAACATGTCATTTCCAGAGACGTTACATGGTTTCAGTTATGTTCCTCAGTCCAATTCTCATTGTGATGCTGATCTTTCTGATAATAAACCGTTTACAATGTTGCAAGTTAATTTCCTCTAATTACTGTTTTAAAATGCACATCATTTACTTGCACTGGCAGAGTTGTTTGAAAGTGTTCATTAATGAGATTATGGTCAACTTCATTACAAGTTTAAACTAAACACTTATTCACATACATAATGCATTTAATGTCAATATCCAGTGTGTACACAAATGCCCCATTAGATCTGCTATCTCCTGCAGGTTACCTTCAATAACTGCATGATTGTCTGTTGCTGCAATCGGTATTTCTCTATCTCAGTCCTTGCACGAAGCTTATCTCTGGCCTTTGCTATTTCCACTTTCGCTTCCTCACGAGCCTTCTGGTAATCTTTCAGTAGATGCTCAATCTCGGAAGTGCTCTCCTCTCTACCCTTCACAGCTGTTTGAGTTCTAAAGAATTACAACAATTTATGAAGCACATAACAGGTAGACAGGCCTTTTTCTGTACATTAAATGAATGATTTACTAGAAGGCTGCAAAGGCTACAGGTACTGATCAACATGATGTACAGATAATCATTGATTTACATCAGCTGATGATGAAATGACCCTTTTACTTAAATTAAAGCTCAAAGCAATGTTCATAGCTCTTGAATTTTAAAGCAACAGTTTACGTACAATCAATCTCCGAATGTTATCACATATTTTACATATCCTTCCCCAATAGAGATGCAGGGAAAAGGTTAGAAAAATTAGCTTGAAAGAATACTAAATGGGGCTACCCAATACTGGAACCAGAATTGTTTTAATTAATCCCAGTGACTTAGACTTGGATGAAAATTAATCACATTTGGGAAAGGAAAACAAATAAAATTTTCACTGAAAAGTACAGCACAGGAGGAGACTATTTGGCCCACTGTACATACCAGCTCTTTTCTTGAATCAATGCACGTTTCTCTTTCAAGCATTTATCCAATTTACTTTTGAAAATGCCTCGTGAATCTGTTCCACCGCCCAATCAAACAGTGCATTCCAAATTTAAACGATTCTTCATTCAGCACGACCTCTTATTTTTGCACACTATGCCTTTATTTATAAAGCCTGCCTTTCCTATGCTTGATGAACTGCTCTACTAAGCTACTCTTTAGTAACCTCTGGACATCTGAACTTCTCACATGTAAGAATTTGCTACAATGGGAAAAGCCTGAGAGTGTATTTCAGGAACAGAATACTTTTCTCTGCAATGTGCTTCTGCTGTACCAGTCTAACCATTGCTCAAGTAAACTCTCCTTACATAGCCTGTGACTCACCGTGTGCTTTCCACAAGATCTTGGCGTAGCCGCTGCAGGTAACCCCTGCGTTTGCTTGGGAGATTTTGATCCAGCTGGGAGATGGTCGTATACTTTTGGCATTGTGAAGTTAAATATTTCTGTGGGCTCAGGCTACGGGTCCTTCTGAATTTCTGTAGTCTTTTGTCTCTCTCCTTTCTCAAGACATCTATGGTTTTCATGTGTCTTTTTTTCATGTTTAGGAAAAGATAGAGAATATTAGCATTTTGATTTTTTTGATACACTTTAATGGGTAACTATAAACTTCAGGGTCAGAGGGCAGGAAGGTCAGTGCATGTACGTGTGTGTGCATGTGGGGGGGGTTCAGGGGTGCTGTTAATGGAAAATTTCAACACTAAGATTGATGGGATCTTGAAATACAGACAGAGATTGCTGGAGAAACTCAGGAGATCTAGCAGTATCGGTGGAGGGAGAAATAGAATTAACGCTTCAAGACTGATATAACAACTTTGGAACTGTAGAGAGTTGAAGAAGGAATGGGTTTTTGTAGGAAAGGGGAGAAGCAATAGAAGAGAAGGGATGGTCAGGGAAAGTTTAGGGCAGATTAGATGTCAAAGGTGTCATGGAACAAGAGACAATAACAGCTGTAACGGTTGTAAAGAAGATAACACACAAATACGGAGCAGGCGCACATGATAAAATAAGGATCAGCTAAACCACAAAAAAAACCATATAGATGAGGGGTAGTGAGAGGGAAAATATCAAAATGGAGTATAGAAGTTGTTGAACTCCACGTTGAGTCCAGAATGCTGTAAAGTACCTAACCAGAAGATGAGGTACTGTCCCTGCAGCCTAGAGGATTTCAAACTGCTAACCTAACCTGGATCTTTAAGACACTGTTCAGGTACTCCCTGAAAGAGCAAAGAATCTACGTTAACAGGGTATGTCGACTACCAGGCCTGGCTGAGCAGGTCAGACTTCCTGTGTGCTTCTTCACCAATACTGGTTCAATAGAGAAAAAGCTTCCCCAGTAGGGAGAGAAAATGTACAAGGATTGCAACCTGCAAACTCTATGTAGCTTTCTGACTTAGAGCAATTCATCAGGGTCAAGGAAATAAGGAGGATGAAAACAAAATGTGTAGGTTATTAGAAGCTGCTATGGAATAAATATATAAGTGACAAAGATATGAAAGCCAAAGTCAAAAATCTAAAATGACAAAGACAATCTTTGTGGCAAAAATGAACAGTAACCTACAGTAGGAGGTTACTTTTGATAAGTGGTTCTGGCTGACACTGTAATGAAACTTTTACATCACATCATGGATGTTTCAATTACAGAATGTGTAGCTAGGCAGTAAATGTAAATACATGATCATTACTTACACCTACCTTTCATAGAGCTGCTGCCTTATGGAACCATTTATATCATCTGCTGATCCACACTGAAGTACTCTTAACAAAGCATCTGTCTCCCCCAGACCATAGTTCAGCTTTGCTTCAGTGAGCTCCACTGTCAGTTGGTGCTGGTTGAAATCCATGTATATTCCAGACATGATCTCAGCACGCTCCTGGCGCAAGCTTTCAATTTCCTTCTGCTGTGCATCCTGAAGCTCAGATTTGAAGTCTGCCATTTCTGTAACCCTGTCTCTGGTTTGCTTTTGCTTTTGCTTTTGCTTGGTCTGTCTGTGAGAACTGGTGACCTCACTGATACCACTACTTGTTGACAGAGGTCTATAGTGGACCCCAGACCAGTTGTAGAACTTGTTATGCAAGGGTAAGTCTTCTGGGCCTCTGCAGACAGCTGTCCTAGAATTGGACTCTGGTGGCCTATTGCAGCCAAACATGGAGGGATTCTCATTCAGAAGCATTTCTGTGTTGCACTCACTTGAAACTGAGGACTCGGCATCTTCGGTGGCAAATTCAATTGTCTCTTCACTCATAATGGATGTCCTAGGCACAGAATTACAATCATTCATGGAATCATTTTGGCTTGGAGTTTGATCCTGTAATGTTCTGTTCTCTTGCTCATGTGAGTCTGTCCCATTTTCAGAAAGACGTCTGTGCTGCACTGAAGACATACTGGAAGATCTATGAAAGATCCTTTTGGATAGTCTTGTGGTATTACCAATTTTACTAAGAGTGGGAGGACAAGAACTCCGTGCATGACTATGGTATGTTAGTGGAAAAGCAGAAGAATTTGCCTGTTTCCTTGATTCAGTGTTTGAGGTAGAGGGCATCTGAATACGCTGAAGAACCAGTTGTGACTCACTTTCCTTAGTCTGTGTTGAGTTACAAAGTGACACTTGTTTAACGTGCGCTATTCCAACTGCATTTTTCCCCCACTGCTGACTGGGATGTTCATTGCAAACCCTTGCTGATTCTGAGTTCACAGATGACTTAAGTGAACTGGACTGAACTCCATCTTGGGAATCACCTCTACTGTCCCACTGAATCGAACTTGACAAATCATGGGAGGTGAATTTATTTTGCTCACGTAACAGAACCAAAGGCACACTATTTGTTTCTATCCTCTGTTCACCTTCTGATTCCATTTGTCTGAAGTTAATTTTGTGTTGCTGTTTTTGATTAAAACCGTACCAAGAAGCAGGCCTATGCTTTCTTTGCCAATATTCAGAATGCTGCAGTCCACGTGACTGTCCACCTTCAGGGCAGTGTAATGACTTGCTGCGGGATCTCCGGCTTGCAGACCCAGCTTCAAGTGTTTGAATAGGGGATGAGGCTCGGTCCACTAGATCAGCCAGCTTTATATCAGCGGAAGTAGCTTCTTGTCCAGCTTGGAAATGTTGTGCAAAGCTCTTCTTTTGTCTATCCTCCAAGACATTGGGACTATAATTTTCCAACTTTGAAAATTCTGACACACTTTCCAAAGAGCTGACACTTTTTATACATTGTGTGAAGTCACCAAGCACAGATGTCTGTGATGCTGCTGCAACGGCTGAATCACCTGGACTGATTGATACTAATTTCTGAGTGTCTAGTGAGACAGGGGTTGAGGTCCTGACAGACAATTTTCCATCTTCTATAGAAAAAGAAGAACATAGTGATTGGCTATGGAGAGTATCAAGATCTGACACACCACTGCTCTGCTGTCGCTCCTGCAGCGTTAATGTCACATTAGTGTGTTCCTGAGACACATTAACATCTGAACCAATCACTCTCACAATAACATTAACCTCTGGAGATCTCAGCACTTCCTTTCTTGAACTTTCCTGGCCATCATTTTCTGAATTGAGAGATAAAGTTTCCGTCTGAACAGCTACATCCATCACTGTCTGAGTACAACGGTCTGTGGTTCTGGCTGTTCCCGTTACACCAGGCTTTTGGTTATTTGGTGAAATGGTTTCATTTGAGTGGTTCATGTTTGTGTGAATATTACACAGCAGCTCCGTGGTGCTATGGACAAGTTTTGAAAGATGGTCAGACAAGTCCTCGAGGTTTGACCAGGGATTTTTTGGTTTGGGCGTGTGTGTCGGAGTTTGGGTACACCTTTTCTGATGTGTAGACAGTTTTTGCTGTTTCACTCCACCCAGTGTTTGTGTCGCTTGGTTGCAGGTGAGTTTGAAAGACCCATCGGAGGCTGACTTTACAGAAGCTTCTGTCGGATAGAGGAGTACAATTTCATCAACTTGTGATCTGACAGTTTCAAATTCAGAATTTGAGCATGGCAACTGTGACAAGCAGAAGAATGAAGCAACCACAGATCGATCGCATGACCTTTGAAAGGCGTCCCCATCAAGGTCGTTAGGGTCAGGGGGTGTAGCTTCAAAAGTCTCCTCTTGGAAGTCACTTACATTACTTAGCGTGTCAGATATTGCTCTTGCATTGACATAACTTAAATGTGAACTAAAGGGAGAATTTTGAATATTCAATCCATTGTCAACACTGGAACATCTCATAACGCTACCAGGACTACTGAGCTGTGATTGTACATTGCACACATTGCTTCCACTTCCGAAGGCACACTGCTTCCAGTTGGCTCTGTGGAATTCATTACATTGCCACTGATGGATGTATGGATTAATATCACTGGAAGCAAAATGCATCAAATCTTTTCCTTTACAGCAGCTCATTTCTTCAGGAAAGTGCCGCTCTTTGAGTTTTCCTTCAGTAAACTTTCCTGGATGAGATTCATCAAATGTTGCCGATATCTGATGTTTGTTGCTTTGCTGTTTAATAGGCTGATTTCTCTTTCCTTGTTTACAAGGTGAAATGACCTTGGAATGGACTACTGCATTACTAGCAGACATGTCAGAATCTGTATTTAATGAGACCCTCTCTCTTACAATGTCAGACCCAAGATTTAGTTTTTGACCACATTTCTTATCCATATCCCTTCCTGTGCCTGTTTCCATTTGATATACAACCTGCTCTCCGTATGTTGATGCTGGAGCATCACTTGGATTGAAAGCATGGAAAGGGTTTGTGATCAGTGCTGTAGTGGGGTTGTACCCACTGGAATCTTGCATTGGTGGATCCACATTGGATGAGGAGCTGTGGACAACTGGTGCAGATTGTCTCTGTTTCAATAGTGGTGACCTCATCTCTTCATGTTTGGCATTAGTTGTATTTATTGAGCCTTTACATTTACAAATATATGACTGCAAATTGCTATTATCCCTCCCACACCGTCTGCTTCGAAGCTCTTGAAGCGAAAGGAATTCAATGTCAAATTCTTCACCTGAACTAGAAGAGTCCTTTGTTACTTCTTTAACTGGCTTAGATTTCATCCTTTTAAGCCGGTGTGATTTCTTCTTTAGAGCATTTGTAGTATTTGGCTTTAATCTCTCATCTGAACCATCATTGACTTTGGTTATTGAAGAGTGTACAGAATAATTACTGCTAGGAGAATCTGAAAGTATCAAGAGATCTGTGGTATTGCATGTTCTTTCCATTTCTGTACACTTATTGCTTTCATGTGACTGAGGACCTAATTCTCCAATCTGTTTACATCGTCGGACTGAATCCTCACTCAGTTCACAGCTATCTATTTGGATAGCTGGCAGATCATTACTTTCTTGAAAGAAATGTTTGTTGTACGTTTCAGTAATGTCAGAAGTAGCACAAGCATCATTCAGATCCTTTATTTGCAATTTGGCCTCAATTTTAAGTTTATGTTCAGGGGTCAACTGATTTTGAGTCTGCTGTAATTGCATTAATTGCTGTTCCTGATAGATAGATGTGTACAAGTTTATGTGGCTGTCACTGTGGTGCATTTCTGATTTACATTCTGGTGCAGCAGTCGCAACAACTTTCTGCATCCTGGTTTGAACACTGGGCTTGTAACTGCACTCTGACACGGGTTGAGGCATGAAGTCAACTTTGGTGGGAGACTTGGAGTTTCTCTCCTGCTTTATTTGGGCCGAGACTTCATGTTTGTTATTGGCGCTTCCACTGCAAACCTGTTCTTGCTTAAAAGTACTCTGTACATCTTGCAGCTGTAACTGTGCTTCTTCATGTCTTTCACCGTCATTTACCTCCTCCTGCACTGACTTATTATTGGTTAAGTCAGATATATTTTTATCATTGCAGTTCTCAGGACACCCAACTGTTTCAGTGAAATTCTTACCATAAGCTGCAGCAAATTTTTCTACATGCTTTGAAGGTTGTTCTGATGTTGCTACGAGCAAATTTAATGAATCCATAGTTAGCTCTGAAACAAGATCCCTGTCAATCAAACTCACTGAGGAATCCTCCCCTTCCCTTCTGCCATCCAAGGCAATATGTTTCTGGTGGCTAAACAATTCAGTGAAGCTCTGTGGTGTGAATGCGCGCAAATGGTCAGCATTTAAGAAATGGGCATCATGGCACTTAATTCCTGTGTTTAACAGAGATGATACTGTCAAGCTGGGAGTGCTCGAGGATTGCTCTTGGACAGGTTGCTGAATCTCTTTTTGAATGTGAGCCTGGTTCTGGTCCATTCCTGATGCAGAGGGCTTTATTAACAGCTCAGAATCCAATGTGCTTTCCAGGGAACTTAACCCAGTTGTTGTAGGCATGCTGGGCTTTCCATCATCAGTTTGTGTCTGAATTTCAATTGTTTTTTGCTCGTAAAGACACAATCTCTGTTCATTCGGGACCTCCTTTTCTGAGAGCGATATGCGTGATGTGCACCTACTTGCTTTTGCATCCTCGTGCTGATTTTCGAATGAATATTTCAGTGATACTTCCAAGTTCCCACATCCAACCTGACTTCCATGTGACTGCGAAATATCGGGCAGAGAAATTTTAATAGCTTCATTTTGGCTTTCAACATTTAAGCCTAACAAACTTGTACTGCATCCACTTGGATTGTGTAAAAATTGATGGAATTTAAAAACATCCTGCTTTTGAAAGGAGTCCTTGGCATCTCCAGTGCCTGAGCTTGGCACAATTAGATCAGAATAAACTATGCTTTCACAAGTTTTCTGCTTTTGATTGGTGACAGCCTCAACACCAGCATCCACCAAATGGTGCAGTACAAACGTGGCCTGGTCTGAATGGGCTGCTTGCCCATCAACCTGGAAATCACTCACATTAGATATAGCTGGTGCATCAAGTTGGTACCACATTACATGTCTACCCACCACCTCTTTTAACACTATATCCTGACTTGGCAATATGGTCCCTGCTGCTGAACATTCTTCTTTCCTGGAGAAGGTGCCATTAGTTTGACACCCACTTGCACCAGCCTTTTCTCCATTGATTTCCTCAAGATTGTCTTTATTGATGAAACAGGACTGAGCTGACCCCACACCCTCACTCATATCTTGCTTTTCAATTGTATTCCTCCTTGGTTGCAGGGTGGCTGTGTCTGGGATTGTTCTTGTTGGCTTTGAAATGGAGATCGGCTCTTCATATAATTTACCTTGTTCACTGTTTTGCTGTAAAGGAGTGTCCTTTGAACAGGTTGCTCTGTCAGACATGGCTCTACTTTCAGCTAACTGCTGCTGTGTAATATATTTACAAAACAATTCATGGTCCAGTTTCCTCAAGTGAAAATTTTCATCAGCTGCAGAACCAGCCTTATTGGAGGTCAAACCAAATTTGACAGAATCAACCACAAAGTTGTCCTCTGGAGGTACTGGCAATGCTTTGAAATCCATAGGTGCATGATTCGCTAATCCTGCTTGCAAACATTCTGGAGTTGTCTGCAATTGCTGATTGGTGAATGAATGCCCATCAATATCACACAGCGAAGCTGCCAAACAGACCTCACACCCTTCAGAAACCATTTCAAACAAATCAATCTCTTGAAGTGTCTCACAGTCTGAGTTTTCAATTACAGGCAGCATTTTCTCTTGTGTGAGCTTTTGTTCTTCATTGTTAAAGATATTCATGCAATTCACTGCTGACTTTATACATTTGAAAATCTCTGGAGAATCCTGTTCCTTTATCTCACAATCAACTGCTCCTACAGATGAGGTAGTGACAACTTCCTGTGGCATATCCTGGGAATATCTGTCTGAGGGAATTTGTCTAACTTCAGTTCCATGTACCATCCATGTAGCAAATCGATAACTTTGATCATTTGAAGAGCAGGTTCTACCAACTGCATGAGGAGTTTTGGTGGAGACTAGATGTTCAGTTTCAGTTTTGCTAAAGCTTAGCACATTTTCTTCACATGTAATGTGCTGCTCATTTCTGGCTGCAGATTCTTTTGAATCCGTGGCCTTTAGGTTATCATTTTTAGCAAATGCTGGAGGTGACAATGGATGCAGACAGTTTCGCTGGGAACTGTTGTCAGTTCGCAAGTATGGTCTTGATCTGTCCACAGGCTGACAGGCAGCTAATTCGGTTTCTTGATTGTTATTGTTAATGAACAAAGCACTTCTATTTTGTTCAGGTGTTTCCGTGGAGATTTTACTTTTTGTTAAACCTTTGACAGGTTCGCTGTTTTTAGCCATTGTCTCTATAATTTCAGATTTAGATATGCTTGAGTGTTCAGCATTCTCACAGTTACTTAGAGTACAGTCAACCACTGTGAAGGGCAACTGATTATCTACAGTCACTGCTATGTAACTTATGTCAGCCGAATCCCTACTATTAGCACGGTCTTCAAATTCAACAATTACATTCTTCTCTTGAATCAAGTCCATGGCATCTCCTTCTTCATTAGATTCAAGACTTATTTGGCTCACATTCTGAATGTTATCAGTCAACATTTCATTCCCCTCAGCTGGATGCGTTGGGAAATCAGTTCCCATTTGAAGTTCACAATCATATTTTGACTCTATTTGATTAGAGGGTGTTTCAATATTGTACTCTGTTGCCACACAGTTCTTGCTTTCTATCACAATACTCTGAGCTACCATAGCATTCTCTTGCTTAGCTTGTCTTGCTGCTTTTCTTGTACGACCAGCATCATAACAAGCATTGATCTCACTGTGAAAGGCCATGCTTGATGTGGTCACTGAGCTACCAGCTTCTGTGCAAGACCAATCACACAACAGAGATCTGTCCTTTGATGTTTGACCCCCTACATCTTCACCTTCCGTAGCACATTGTGTTGTACAAGTTTGCTCGAAGCAATATTTAGAACAGTTGAAGCTCCCAGATGTTCTGTCTCCTTTTATTTCTGTTGCCTTTTGCAAAGACCTTACTTCATCACTGTAATTCTCATTCAATTGCTCAAAATCCTCACTTTGAAAGAATAATTCTTCGTTAGGTTCTTTTCCAACTTTAGCTGCATGTTCAGCTCTGTTTTTCTGTAAAGTGAAAAGTTCACAGGCTTTGGAGTCGTTTACCAAGTCAAAACTGGTTGCTCTCCCTCTGCCATTCATTTTTGCCAGACTGGACCTTCTCGTCATCAGAGATGTTGTTTGAAAATAATGGTCAGCTGTTCCAGAATTACTGCCAACTTTCTCTGCTGCACCACTCACTGGACTGTTCCCCTTGGACTTGCCTTGTTCTTGACAGTCACATGCTATTCCATCCACCTGAATGGGCTGTGTACAAATAACTCTCGTCTGATGATCTTCAGCATCTCCATTGAGCATTTCACCTCCTACACAGGCAGTTGGCTGAACATCTTTGAAGGTTCCTACAGAACAAATCTGCTTTTCAACAGTGACTTCACAACCTTTAGATTCACCTAGAAATCCAGCACCTGTCATCATCACTGAGTCTTCAGTCAAATCTGATGGAAGGCTGAGACCAAAGTAACACAGATTGCTTTGAACCGCACCATTCACCATGTTATCTTTGTTCGGTTTTGCTGCACTAACATTATCAATTCCAATTTCTTCATAATCCACTAAGAAATTAGTGGCAGATACACAGTCACTTCTAAATCTTTTTTCTCTCATACTGCTTTCTTTAATAAATTGTACTGTTAGTAAGTCAGTGTCCACATCATTCTGGTTGACATTTGCTTTTTTATGGTCATGCATGGATTGGTTAACTTTAGCTTTCAATCTATTCCTATTTCTCTGAGGATTGGATGATTCCAGTTGGCATGTCACGCTTTCTATTATAGGGCCTCTCTCCATGTTGGGACCATGTGATATTTCTGATTCTTCTTTAACTAGCATGTTAATATTTTCAGGCTCTTGGACAAAAGGGTGATGCAGGTGATCCCTTGAAAGAGACTCAGCAGGAATGTTGTGTTTTTTTGAAAGCGTACTATAGGCTCTATCCAACTTTGTCAGAATATTGCAATCTGGATTAAATTTGTCACAAAGCCTGCTTTCAACATTTGTTTTACGCTCTTCTGTAGTAAAATTAGGAGCACTTTGCCCAGATGTAGGTGAAAGATGTACTTCTGAAAGCACATTATCATCATACTGCTGATCCTGTGAGTCATCATTACATGGGTTGCCTTTATAGCGCAAGCAGTCTTCAACATCTGGATTCCATAACATCTTGCTCGTCTCTTTGTCATGACCTTTGCTTCTTAATAAAAGTTCTTCCATTTTGTTTGACACAGTAATACTTGCAATACTTTGCTGCTGTGAAAAGCAATCTCGGTTTATCACCTGGGGTTTTTCAGAACAAACAGTCCCCTTCTCCTTGTGGAAACGCTCATCATAAATTCTCCCGAGTTCACTGACCTTGGCTTCAGAATCCACTGGGCTGCCTGCAGCCTGCAACAGAGCTTCTGTTGAAATATATCCTCCATCATTCCTTAAGAGATCTATATGGTTCTTTGGTTTTTGGAGAGTAACATTTCTAACTGAACTGGCCATCAGATCACAACTGTCTCTTCCTTTGGTTACAATACTTTTTGTCTTCAGTCTTTCCTGCATTATAATGGATTTTGCAGTTTGCCTGTCTCTTTCAGGTACTAAATTTGATTGTTCCGTTTGACTATATCCATCTTTCATTAAAGCTGAGGGAGTAATATCTGGAGCTTTATCTTGCATTGCACTAAATTCTAAAAAAGGTTTGGTCTCATTCTGGATAAAAGAGGTTCCCAGAAACATGCTCTCAATAAGCAAGCCTGTGTCTACTGTGCCATTCTTTTCTATATATCCACATTCCACTTTGGGTTCCAGAACCTGTTCCAATGGCCCACTCGCTAGTCCATAGGGACCACTGGAATTAGAAATAGCTGCAGGGCAAGAAAAATCAGATAAGGTTTGGGACTCTGATTCTAGTTTGGTTTGTTCAGTGCCAGAAATGGCTAAACTCTCAAAGCTGGGTGAGGAATTGAATTTGGTTGTGTTCTCTCTTGAAGCACTGCCATTCACATCATATCTTAAGTGACAATTATTGTCACCAAACAGACTGCCCTGAGACCATGTGCACATTGCTTCTGTTTCTGTGATTTGTTGATCTCTCTGTGTTACCTCCACTTCCGATCCAACATTCTGCCTGGCAACAACCATATCTGTACCAGCTGATCTAAGTTGCAAACAAGTATCAGGCATAGAAGACTCTACAAGTTCTCTAGATTGCATTAATAATGGATACTGTTGTATAGTAAGGACTTGATCTGATACATTACTATCTTGTGTCTTTCTTGCTGATACATGCATAGTTTCTATTTCCGAATTTCCAAGCACTTCAGTAACATGAACCTTAGGATGTTCAGTACAACTTAGATCTGACATTGTTGCTCCATCAGTTCTAAATATACTGATGAGATGCTCCTTTTCTTGATCTAGTGCATTGTCTTTGTCTTCAGTACATGGCACGTTGTCCTCTCTGAGATTAACACATGTAGATGTCACTGGAAAATTATTGGTTGCATTACATTGTTGGTTCTCATGTGGTGGACCAAAACTAAAAACTGGGTGGATCCAAATTCTTTCTGGTCTTTCAGTTGGATCATCTCCCACATCCCCATACCTATCATCTTGCCCTCGCGAGATTTCCAAAACAGAAATGCCATGAGCTGAATCTATCTGCAAATTACTCCTGTCACTAGATTCACAAGATGACCAAGCATCTGTCATGATCAGAGAGTCCATATCATTTTTATTTAACTCCAGATTTTCCATCTGCATATTTTTATCCAGATCTGTAGCTTTTAGTTCTGTGCTACTGCTCAAATTAAAATGCTGCCCTTTTAATCTTACAGCTCCCACACACTGGCTTTTACTAAGTAGTGCTTCAGAAGCCTGACGGGTTTTGGTTTTGTCACCTTCAGTCCAAGGCAGATTCCAATACAGTTCAGCTGGCATTTCATCCGATGCCGCTGATTCAACTGAATCCATTCTGAAAATGTCACTTGGCCCTCTCACATCAGTTAAGCTGTTCAGAGAAATACTTCTCCCTCTGTTTGCAAGGTTGCATCTTGTTACTTTATTGTAAGACACACTAACATTCAGCATGCCAGCAGCTGATTTTGTGTCCTTATCCACCAGTGAATCTTGGGACATCTGACTGTCGTCACTTTCACTACAATTGTCATGCCATTCATATTGGTGTTTCTCCAACTCTTCCTCCAGTAACTGCTCTTTTAATGCCGTTGCATAAGCAGAAGACAGAGAATCCACAGAGTACACACTTTCACCGTCTGACATTTCCTCTGCGCCCGACAAGTATTTTAGTGAATCACTAGCAGCCATAGTAATGCCAGCATTCAGTATTTTGTCACTGTGCCACTTCCTTGTCTTGGCAGGGTGAGGTACTGGCTCCCAAAGATTAACCAGTGAAGAAGCTCCCTTGATGGAACACTGACCCTGGTTCAGGGAAGACTTCTTAGTGGCATGCTCCTTGCAGACTCTTTTGGCTCTGCTCAATCGTCCACATGGAGACTTTCCCCAAACTCTGGAGGTATTGCCAATATCCAATAATGGACATTTCCATGCAAAATCCTGCCTCATGTCTTCACTAGCTATTTTAAGTAGCTTGTCTTTGTTAGTTTCAACATAAACCAAATCTGATTCAAGTATCCTTGTCTCAGACAGCGTGCAGCCTGATGAATTTTTATTTTCAGAAACTTTACTGATTAGTTGTTGGACTTCTGGCTGTAGGCTACTCACATCAGCCACTTGTGTATGTTCTTTGTCAGTTAAGTTACTACCTTCATTTGGTCGTCTTTTGACTTTGGGCTTGGAAACTTCCTCATGCCCTACAGCCTTTTGTTTCTTATGCAATTGGCCCCATGCAGGTGAAACAGTCTCACTCCCGCGTTTAAAAGCTTGGTGCCTTGTAATGGACAACCCCTCTTTTGGCAAAGATCCCATTGAGTGAGGCTTCTGTGTTGAACTGTGCTGCTTCTTTGTTTGAGATGAGGTAGCCAAGTTCTTTCTCTTTAGGAAATCACTGTGAAAAAGCAACATTGGAAACCTTAAATGTAATTACATCACTGGAAAGTCTGATTCAAAAATTACAATTAATTTCTATGTAATTTCTAATTACTTTTGTGACTCAGTTTATTTACAGTTTTTAATACATGTTCTAAGATCTGGGTATGTCAAAGCTGCATCCTAGCATTGCCACTGGTGTCAGTGGTGGTTCAGTCAGAAGGTTGTGTGTTCAAGTCTCATTCCTGAAGCATGAGCGCACATTTCAAGATGCTACTCTAGTACAGTGGCAAGGGAATGCTGCACTGTTAGATGTGCTGGTTTTAAATGAAACTTTCAACCAAAGCTCTCATCTACCCTTCGAGTGAACATAAAGGGTCTTCCAGCATACTTTCAAGAGCAGGAGACTTTTTGTGGCTATATTTAACCCTCAGCCAACAACTTAAATGGAATAATTTGTCTTTAACTCATTGCTGTTCATGGGAAATTGCTTTATGCAAATTGGTTGCCACATTTTCTACATTACAACAGTGACACAATTCAGAAAGACTTCATTAGATGCCTTGTGCTTAGGGATGTCCCAAGATTGTGAAAAATGCTATAAAATGCAAGACTGTCTAAAATTAAATAAGTTTCTTTTAACCTAATAACAGAGTTGCAGACCAAGTTATCATGATTTTGTAGTCATCGTCTGGTAATTTTTAGGAAGAAAAGTGTTAAGGTTACTACTTCTGTTTGAATAAAGTTAATCTGACTACAACTGGGCAAGAAACTAAAAGCACAGCTACTACAAAATCACCTACCTATACAGCTACGAGTTTGATGTGGATTATAGACAAAGTAACCCAAGATTCTTGAAATACCAAGAGTTTGCAAACAGATAAAAGTGTTGAGAATTCAAGCTTCAGCAAGGAACAGCAGATGGGAGGAAGAACTTCAAAGTGACTCAGCATAATTAACCCCTGTTACTTTGTGAAATCCTTCTGCATAAAGAAACCGAGGCTAAGAATGTATTCAGAATTGGCTTGCTTGTAGAAGACAGAGGGTAATGGTGGTTGGCTGTTTTTCAGGCTGGAGGTGACTAATGTGTTCCGCAAGGATCCATACTAGGATATATATAAATGACTTAGATGAAAATGTTGATGGGTGGGTTAGTAAGTTTGCAGACGATACAAACATTGGTGGAGCAGTTGATAGTGCAGAAGGTTGTCAAAGGATACCGCGGGGCATAGATCAGTTGCAGATACGGGCAGAGAAATGGAAGTTGAAGTTTAATTCGGGCAAGTGTGAGATGCTGCACTTTGGGAATCAAATGTTAAGGAAAGGTAATGGTAGGACTCTGAACAGCATTAATGTACAGAAGGATCTTAGGGTTCAAGTCCACAGTTCCCTGAAAGTGGCCACACAAGTAGATAGGATGGTAAAGAAGGCGTCGTTGGTTGGTTTGCCGAGCTGACTGGTTTTCATGCAAACATTTCATCTCCCTTCTAGGTGACATCGTCAGTGCTGTGTAGCCTCCGTTGAAGCATTGTGGCTGTATCCCGCTCTGAATTTACATGGTCTGGTCTGTCATGGTGGGCACTCTTGTTTCCGGTTTTGTACTGTAGTGGTATGTAAATGGGGTCTATTGCAACATGTTTGTTAATTGCATCAGTGGTTGAAAACCAGGCCTCCAGGAATTCTCGTGCTTGTCTTTGTCTTGCTTATCCTAGTACTGTAACTGTGTCCCAATCAAATTGATGTCCTTCTATCTCAGAGTGTATTTAAACAAGGGAGAGTTGGTCATGCCGTTTTGCTGCAACTTGGTGTTCATGTATCATGATGGCAGGTTTCCTGTTCATCTGTCCTATGTAGTGTTTCTCACAGTTGCTGCATGGTATTGTATATATCACACTTGTCCTGCTCATTATGGGTATGGGGTCTTTTGTCTTTGAGAGTAATTGGCGAAGTGTGGCTGTTGGTTTGTGTGCTATGCTTATTGCAAGAGGTCATAGGAGTCTTGTAGTCAGTTCTGATACGTTTCTAATGTAGGATAGGTGTGTTGGGGCATACAGTGTCTTCTTGATGTTGTTTGTTTGCCAGGCATCGGTGGACGAAGCTGTTAGGATAACTATTGTTTGCAAATGGTAAAGAAAGCATGTGACATTCTTGCTTTTGTTGGTCGGGAATTGAGTACAAGAGTCAGGATGTCATGTTGCAGCTTTATAATACTTTGGTTAGGCCACATTTAGAGTATCGCATTCAATTCTGGTCACCACGTTACAGGAAGGATGTGGAGGCTTTAGAGAGGGTGCAGAAGAGGTTTACCAAGATGCTGCCTGGATTAGATGCTATGAGCTATAAGTAGAGGCTAGAAAAACTCAGGTAGTTTTCTCTTGAGCAGCAGAGACTGAGGGGAGACTTGATAGAAGTTTATAAAATTTTGAGACATAGAGTTGAAGGTCAGAATTCTTTTTCTAGAGTTGAAATGTCTAATACTACAGGGAATGCATTTATGGTGCAGGTGTGGGGGAAGTACAAAGGAGACATAAGGGGCAATTTGTTTACACTGGGAGGAGGAGGATTCTGGAACGCGCTGCCAGGGGTGGTGGTGGAGGCAAATATGGTAAGGCCATTAAAGGGACATTTAGGTCAGCACATGAATATGCAAGGAATGGAAGCTATGGACCAAGGGCAGGCAGAAGAGATTAATTTAATTTGGCGTCATGTTTGGCACAACATCATGGGCCAAAGGGCCCATTCCTATGCTGTACAGTTCTATGTTCTAACAGCCAGTGTCCAGAACGCCAAGGCAGCAGCTTTGAGGATCATTTTTGAGGACCAAGGGAAGACAAAGAGAACAGATATACAAAAATCCAAATTCTGTTCTGTTGCAGAAAAGTTAAGCAATGGGCAAGTGCAGAAACCACAGAACTAGGAAAGATACTTATTGGCAAATTTTCTCATAAGTAATCTTTGTCAGTACTCTTTGAATCATGATATTTAATTTCTTGTTAATATTTTGATTTCTTTATCCCTAATGACTTGTAATAAACTAACCTTTACCCTGTTTAAACACAAGCTGGTCTGCTGTGACATTATTACAAATTAAAAGAGGCTGCATGAGCTATATTAATCTGGAGTTCACTGACCATGAAATGGACATACCTGGTGATTTTGACATCATGAGCTACTGAAAATGGATTCAACAATTTCTAAGATATTGGCTGCAATCAATTATGGACACCACACTTTAGGATGTGAAGGCATTTGAGACAGTGTAAAAAGGATTCACAAGTACACTTCCAGGAATGAGGAACTTCAGTTAGCCAGATAGGTGAGAGAAGTTAAGACTGTGCTACTTATGAAAGAGAAGGTTGAGAGAAAATTTGATAGATTCAAAATCTGGCCAGTCTGGACAAAATAGACAGGGTCAAGCTATTTCCATTCGTAGCTCTGATCAAGAATCAGTGTATACAGATTTAAGGTAAATCGCAAAATCTTTCAAAGTTTTTTTAGAGTCATTCCTCTGGATTAGAAAATTGTACTCGTCACTCCACTTTTTAAGAAGAGGAGCACCAGGGAATTACAGACCAGTTAGCCTAACACCTGTGGTGCGGAAATTGTTAGAGTCTTTAATCAAGTTAACTGAACACCTTGAAAATTTTCAGTTCATCAGGAAGAGCTGGCATGGATCAAGATTCATGGATTCATTGTCAAGTTGTGCCTTTCAAACCCTACTGCATTGTTTTCAAGAGGTGACTAAAGTAATAGAGAGGGAAATGTTTATGCTTGGTGTTTATATGGACTTCCAGAAGGCATTTGATAAAGTCCCACATGAGAGACTGTTAAGTAAGACTAAAGCCGACAGAATTGAGGGCAAATTACTGAGGTGGATGGGAAACTGGTTGAGTGGCAGGCAACAGAAAGTAGGGATAATGAGTAGATAGTCAATTTAGCAGGAATGTGACTAGTAGCTTCCCAAAATAATTTACGTTAGGGCCTTAATTATTCACCTCATTTATTAATAAGTTGGATAATTGCATAGAAAGAGATATATTCAAATTTGTTGATAACACCAAGTTAGGCAACATTGTAGACAGTGTAAAATTACAATTAGAAAGTATAAAATTACAGAGGGATACTGACAGACTAGGTGAATCGGCAAAACTGAAGCAGATGGAGTTCAATGTAAGACAGTGTGAGGTTGCCCATTTTAGACCAGAAAAGGGTAAATCAGGGTATTTTCTAGATGGTATGCAACTAAATACATTGTATGTTCAAAGAAACTTGAGGGTTAAGGTGCATTGATTTTTAAAATGCTACAAACAGGTGCAGAAAGTAATAAAGGCAGCTAATGGAATGTTGGCCTTTATATCTAGGAGGACTGGAGTATAAGGATGCAGAAGTTATGGCACAGTTATACAAAACCCGGATGGACTCCATTGGAATACTGGGAGCTGATCTGGGCATCACACCTTAGAACAGATACATTGGCCCTGGAGGGAGTACAATGTAAGCGTACAAGAATGTTACCTAGATTTTAGTGGTTAGTTTATGAGGAGAAATTATAAAAACTGGCCTCTTTCCTCTAGAATTTAAAAGGTTAAGGGATAATGTGATCCAAGTCTTCAAAATATTAACAGGAAAGGGCAGGGTAAGTAAAGAAATTTCCACTGTCTGGGGATTCTAAAACTGGTGAGCTCAATCTGACAATTAGGGCCAGCCCATTCGGGAGAGATGTTAGGAAGTACTTCTGCAGACAAAGGGTGGTAGAGGTTTGGAATTCTCTTCTACAAATGGCAGTGGATGCTGGATCAGTTGTTAGTTTTAAATTTGAGATAGGTACATTTTTGTGAATCAAAGGCATTACCAGGTTTGGGCCAAAAGCAGGTGTTAGACCACAGATCTGCCATGATCTCAGGAATGGCAGTACAGACTTGAGGGGCTGAATGGCCTATTCCTGTTCCTATGAATTGGTGACTTAAAAAAAAAATATTTTCATGCAATGAGTGGTTAGGACCTGGAACGTGCGTGCTGATACGATGGTGAAGGCAGGTTCAATCAAGGCTTTCAAAAACGAATTGTATTATTATTTGAAAGGGAAGAATGTGCAGGACCACGGGCAGAAGGAGGGTGCAGTAGGTAAACTGCTCTTTCAGCAAGCCAACACATGTATGACAGATTGAATGGCCACCTGCATTTTACCTATTCTATACATCAGTAACTAAATCACATGTATCAAGTTCCCAGAATCAAATATAAAATTCAAAGTCATCTCCCTGCTGCTTTGCATCAACTCATCCTCACTTATTATTTCCTGGGGCTGGTAGTAAACATTTTCTTAGCACTCAGCGTGTCAACAATCCTGAATGATAGTGAATACCTCAATAAGAACATCTCAAACTACTTTCCTTTGGTTCAAACTGTTGGATTCTTTCCCTTCTCTAACTTTCAGTTTTTTTGAAGACAACACCATGTAATTACCACACAAAAAACACGCTTTCTCAACACTTGCAATTTTATTCACTAGCCTAAAGATTAGAGCCAGACTTTCAAAAGTGAAATCACAAAGGGATATTGACAGATTAGGTGAACCTGTGGCATCTTGATGCAAAGGGTGAACCAGCCATCGGAACCTACCCTTCCACCACAATGCTCTCCGAATCAAGTAGAAGAATGTATCAGGAGTAGCAGATTGAGGAATGAATTGGGAGTAGAAGATGCAGGAATGCTGACACAGTAGATTTGAGTGAGTTGTGTGTTAAAAGCGGAAGGATTACTTAGCAAGAGAAAGGTATGGCTCTTCTGGAAGAATTCCCTGCTATTCTTCCAAAATATTGCCAGGGATTTGATCACATCCATTAGGCAGGGCAGACAAGGACTTGATTTAACATCTCATTCATGACAAAAGGCAATACTACTGATAATCAGCATCCTTCAGTAATGTAGCACAGCATCAGCTTAGTTCATACACTTAAGTCTCTGGAGCCTGCCACTACTAATCTATGAGGTTGTAGACTTGCTCGCCGAGCCAGTGTGTTTGGTTGCAGACGTTTTGTCACGCTGCTAGGTAACATTGTCAGTGTGCCTCCGATGAAGCGTTGGTGTTCTTTACCGCTTGTTATTTATATGCCTTGGTTTGCTGGGGAGGATGGTATTAGTTCCGGTTCTGTTTCCTATACATAATGGTAGAACGTAAGAACAACAGGGAACTCCAGACTAGCGATTACAGAAAGGCCACACCTACGGACCAGATACTTAATTACTCCAGCAACCCAACACCCATAACAGAGCTGCATCAGGACATTATTCAAACAAGCCACAACACACTGCAGCAACCTGGAATTGTGCAAAGCAGAACAGGAGCACTTACACGGAGTTTTTAAAAGGAACGGATACCCAAAAAGCATAATCTGCCGTTATCTGCGTGACAGACCACAACAGGACGACACAACACAGCCAGACACACTAGTCACCCTACCGTACTTCGGAGACATATCAGAGATGACCACAAGATCACTTAGATCCCTAGGTATCAGGGTAGCCCACAAACCAACAACCATTCTGCGACAGCTACTGATGAATGTAAAGGGTTCCATACCCACAACCAATAAAACTAATGTAATATACAAAATACAATGCAAGGGGTGTGAAAAACAATACACAGGCCAAACTGGAAGAAAACTGACAATAAGGATACACGAACTAGCCACCAAGAGACACGACCAATTCTCACTGGTCTCAATACACATGAACAATGGAGGATACAAATTCGACTGGGACAACACATCCATGATAGCATGAGCCAAATAGAGACATGCCAGGGAATTCCTGGAGGCCTGGCATTCCAACCGAAACACAATCAACAAACACATTGAACTAGACCCAATATACAAACCACAGAAAAACAGAACTGGAAGTAATGCCAACCACCTCAGCAAACCGAGACATAATAAAAAGTGGGACAGAACACCAAAGCTTCACCGGAGACCCACTGACGATGTTACCTAGCAGGGTGAAAAATGTCTGCAATCAAACACATTGGCTCGACGAGCATGTCTACAACCTCATCCACAACCTGAGCCACAAATCTTCTCAAAAACTTTAAACCACTAATCAATGATAGACACCTTGCTTTCACAAGCTGAACTATTCGGCATTAAATGTTTTTCACTTTTTAACTTTGATATATAAGTACAAAAGATGCATATTTTATTCCAAAATTTGAAAGGGCTCTCCAACTGTTACCCCCAATTAAGTGTTTAGCAACCTACATGAATTGCAAACAAACTCATTTCTGGACAACAAATACATACCTGTAAACTGGGACATACTGTGGGTACAGGCGTGATACCAGGTCATTTGAATCGGAATGCCTCCTGGCTAGTAAATGACCAGGTGGTGATTGTTTTGTTGCTGGTAATGAGTATGGAGGGAATGATTTGTTCCACTTGGTCAGTTTTGGATTTGGACTGGTTTGTGAAGTGTTCATTTTGTCCATGGTTGGCTGCTTAAGTTGATCCTTGCTGAGAAAACTTGCAGCCTCCAGGTGTTGCAGGTTGGTTTTGGCTTCCAAAAGTTTGTGCTTCCCGGCAATTCTCTCCAGCTGGTATTTGACTCTTTTCTTGCTGATATTTTGTTTGGCCTTCTTCAGTGAGAGTTTTTGAAGCAGTTCCAGCTGCACCAGCCGCTTCCTATCTTGTTCGAGTGAAGAAATCTCCTCATTTTGAAGGGTGATTTGTACCCCGCACTCAGTGAATGATACGATCTCTGTTTGTATCCCCAGCTCTTGGCGGTGCTGCGCCAGGGACTCCAAGCGCCTCTCTTCAAGTGCTAAACATTGCTGGTCTGGGAAAAGAAAAGGAACAGATAGTTGTTAACATGGCTAAAAACAAAGTAGTGCAGATTGCAGAGGTGAATCTTAAGAGAAAGGGAGGAACACAGAATGCTGGAATTACCCAGCAGGCCAGACAACAACTGGAGAACAAGAAACAGAGTCAATAGTAAAGTGAACACAGAGTAGTGAGGATGCTGGAAACCTAAAACAAGAACAAATGCTGGAGAAACTCAGCAGGATTTGGCAGCATACAGTCATAGAGATTACAGCATGGAAACAGACCCTTCAGTCCAACTCGTCCATGCCAACCACATATCCTAAATAAAGCCAGTCCCATTTGCCAGCATTTGGCTCATATCCCTTTAAACCCTTCCTATTCATGCACCCATTCAGATGACTTCTACATGTTGTAACTGTATCAGCCTCCACCACCTCTCTGGATACTCGTTCCATACATGCACCAGTCTCTGTGTGAAAAAGGTGTCCCTTAAGTCCCTCTTATATCTTTCCCCTTTCACCTTAAACCTATGCCATTTAGTTTTGGCCTCCCCTACCCTATGGAAAAGACTTTGGCTATTCACCCTATCCATGCTCCTCAAAATTTTATAAACTTCTAGTAGGTCATCCCTCTGCCCACGACACTCCAAGGAAAATAGCCCCAGCCTATTCAGCCTCTCCCTATAGCTCAAACCCTGAAACCCTAACTACATTCTTGTAAATCTTTTCTGAACCCTTTCAAGTTTAACAACATATTTTCTATATCAACGAGACCAGAATTGAACACAGCATTCCAAAAGTGCCCTAACCAATATCCTGTACAGCTGCAACATGACCTCCCAACTCCAATACTGAATGCACCGACCAATAAAGGCAAGAGTACCAAACGCCTTCTTCACTACCCTGTCTCCCTGCAACTCCACTTTCAAGGAACTATGAACCTGCACTCCAAGGTCTCTTTGTTCGGCAACACTCCCCAGGACCTCATCATTAGGTGTAGAAGTCCTGCCCTGGTTTGCCTTACTAAAATGTAGCATCTAGAGAGAAAACAGAATCAACACTTCAAGTCCAATGACCCATCCAGGAGTGAAAGACAGCGATAGCAACAGCAAGAGAAGCCTAACAGTCTCCATCCGCCACCACCAGGCCAGTCCTCCACTAGGCTGAGCTCGTCCGCACTTTGAACAACTTGTCCTTTAACTCCTCTCACTTATATCAGGTCAAAGGGAAGGCCATGGGTGCCTGCATGGATCCCAGTTATGGCTGTCTCTTTATGGGCACTTGGAAAATTCCTTGTTTCAGTCCTACCCCGGCCCCCAGTCTCTACTCTTTCTCTGGTTCATCAAAGACGTCATAGCGTCATAGAGTAATACAGCATGGAAAAAGGCCCTTCAGCCCAAATTGGTCCATATTGACTATGGTGGCTAGTCAGCTAGTTCCTGTTTGTTCCTGTCAGCTAGTTTGTACCTATCCAAATTTTTAAAAATGTTGCTATTGTACCTGTCTCAACCACCTCCTCGAACAGCCCATTCGATATACGCACCACTCTGCATGAAGAAGTTGCCCTTCAGGTCCTTCTTAAATCTTTCCCCTCTCACCTTAAATCTATGCCATCTAGTTTTCAATTCCCCATCCCTGGGAAAAAGACTATATACATTCATCCTATCTATGCCCCTCTATACACCTCAATAAGGTCACCTCTCATTCTCCTACATTCCAAGGAATAAAGTCCTATCCTGGCCAACTTCTCCCAATAACTCAGGCCTACTAGTCCTGGTAACATCCTCGTAAACCTTCTTTGCACACTTTCCAGTTATACGTCTTTCCTAGAACAGGGTGACTAAAACTTACACAATAAATCAGTGCTATTTCCTTTCTTGTCTGGAATTGGAAACATTTATGAATTTTGTTTCTAGTTTCACCTTCACCTGGTCCATGGCTGACTTTCCAGTTCCCTTCCTTGATATCTCTGTTGCCATTTCTAGGGATAGCCTGGCCACCAATATCCACTACAAACCCACTGTCTCCCACAGTTACCTGAACTTCACACTTTGCTTTCTGTAACGATTCCATTCCATTCTCCCAGTTTCACTGTCTCTGTTTACCTCCTCCTCCTCACAACTCAAGGCTCCAGACACACTGTCCAGGTGAAGCAATGATCTACCTGCATTTCATTGAGTCTAGTCTGCTGGAATCACTGCTGACAATGTGGTTTCATGTACACTGGGGAGAGGAAACACGCAGTGGGTGAGCGCTTTGTGGAATACCTTCGTTCTATCCGTAAAAACGACACAGTTGCCTGCCACTTCAACACTATATTCCCATGCTAATATTTCTGTTTCAGGCCTTCTTCAGAGAAGAAGGGTCTAGACCCAAAGCGTCAGCTTTCCTGCTCCTCTGATGCTGCTTGGCTTGCTGTGGTCATCCAGCTCTACACCTTGTTATACCAGATTTTCCAGCATTGGCAGTCCCTACTATCTCTAGTACAATGATCAATTCAGTTTCTACAAAATATTTTCATTTATTCGCCTTTATCTTTTCTCTGCTACAGGTGCAGAAAGAAATAAACTTCCCCATTTTGATCGAATAGGTGTTGGTGTTGTTTGGGATGTATGCAGAAAATCACTATGTTCCATCTTTATAGTTGTTAGCCATCGTAAAGTATGCAAAGTAAACCAGGAAGAGCTGCAGCTCTCTTCAGGTGCTAATATTTATAATAAAAACTTTTTCTGACATCCCAGAAACCAGCTTTCTTGGGTGACACAACATATCAAAGGAAAGTGCAGTGTTTGTGTTATGTTACACATAACAATTTGTTTGCTTGCTGGTACACACACTTTCTCCCTACTGAATGTCCTTTCGCTACTGAGAGTGAATCATCTTCAAAGAAAAGCTTGCGACTACATACTTTTCTCAATTTGTTGTTTGAGCTGCTCCTGATCATGTTCGAGCTCTTGTTCTGCCTGTGACTGGGCTGCTTGGATGTGTTTTCTCAGTTCCTCAACGTAGCATTGCTGCTGCTGTACCTGTCCTTGGTAAAAAGTTTCCAATGCCTTCAGCTTTTGTTTGTATTCTTCGTGCTCCTGCTGTTTGTTTTGGTATCTCTCCCGAAGTTCTACTAGTTGCCTCCTGAGGATAAACAACAGTGAGTGAAATGTTATGCAATGCATGAACTCAAAGTTCACTGAACATTTCTTCTGCAGTAGCAAACAGCAGCACTGTTCATATTGTAGAGGTGGACTAAGTCCAGATATAATATTCCTGGACAACACTTCTCAAATCTATTATCTCTACAAACTAAAAGGACAGTGGCAGCAGTCACACACAATCCTAACTTGGATATGTAACGTCATACCTTTACTGTCTCTGGGTTAAAATGCTGAATGTCTTGAGCTAACATACTTGTGGAAGCACCTTCACTGTATGGACTGTAGAGGATCAAGAAGGTGCCTTTTAAGGGCAAAAAATAAATGGGCAATTATTGCTGGCTGTGGAAGTTCATTTTATTCTCACACTGTACAAGCTGGTACAATTCAGGTGCAGAAAATGGGAAACCTAGTCAGGAAGTGGCAGGCTTTGCGGTAACCAATTCTTGAAAGTCAACATGCAGCAAAAGGAAATCCTTTTACCACCACATTTTCAGCTCTTTCAAATCATCAGTTGATTTATAAATTCAATATAAAATAAATCATGACCAAGCAACCTGACAGCAGCTGCCTGAACTTGTATTAATCTGTTCGCCAAACTTGAATTTTAAACACAAAGTTCTTTCCCTTCATCACCTCACCAATCTATTCTTTCATCACTTGATTGATCGGTACACTTCTGATTTCTCACAGGCCAGCCGTTAAATTACCTAGCAGCAAAGAAGCTTGCAGCTCGTGAAAAAAAAAACCTGCTTGGCTGCGTAGGAACTGAGATACAAAGGCACAAACCACTCAGTGATTCTGCAAGATGCTTTAAATGGACCACAGACTACAGCAGTGCACTGTATTCAAGCTAACAGCATTCAAAAATATCACACCTTTGGTACTAAATTCAAAGCCATAAGCACACTAATTTGGTACATTTGCTAGGAGTCCAATATCAAACTTAATCATGGCATTTCTGGTGCAGGTACATTGGTGCAGTTTGCAAGATCTCTTGTATTAGTAATATTGCGGGTGTTGGTGTAGCTTCACAAGTTAAAGACTATAAAATGGAATTTAGCCAGTAACCGAAATAAACTACAATAAACAAGTCATTAAAAAAACAAGTCTGATGTTAAAACTAAAAAGACACAAAATCTCAAAATCCTAAGGTTGAACAGCTCCACGTAAACTTGTTTACGGAATGTTAAAAGTATATGTTATATAACGTTGTATTGATTCCTTCATATAGTTACAGCTGAAAATTTAATGTACACCATGTATCTTTTTAACACATTAAATATTAAATTCAGACAGTAAACACACAATCACAAACACACACTCCAATGTGTACTTGCAGTTGTTGATCTTACAGTAACTCCCCAGTTAACACACTGTCCTCAGAGAATGAATGGTCTCGGTCCAAAATGCCTTTTTGACGACGTCCAACTGCTGTTGTGAACATCCCTGAAGTTTAAGTCTTAATGGAAGCTTTAAGAATACTATTTTGAACGTGAACTTGCTGGTACAGTGAGTTAGTGTCCAACTTTCTGTGCCATCAGGCTACTGTAACTATGGCAACAAGTGGTTTGAATGAGTGTCTTCCCAATTAACCTTCATTGAAAGAAAGTTTATAACCAAAAGCCTTGCACGCCATTAGCATCTATGACCAGCAAAATGATAAATTAAGTATCAGAAATTAGAACTAAACTAGCTGCTTGTAGCATACAGAGTACACTATTTGATAGAATAACATGTATTGTAGATGACACTCTTCTATTCAGTATATCACTGAAACACAAACAAAACCCCAAATTATTCTATTGTTAAATAAAAATGCAATGATGCAGAAATATACAACAGGTTAGTCTACAACTATAGAAAAAAAAAGAGAAGTCAGTGGATGTTTCAGGTTTGAAGATGGTTCCCAACAGTTTAAAGATCCAAAACCAGAACCAACTTCTGTTCTCCACAAATTGTCTGTCTTTGTTGCTTTATCTCTTGGATTCCTGTATTGATTCATCATTTTGGACCTCATACTGTATCAACTCTGACTCTAGCACTCTAGCATCTGCAGTTCTTGCTATCTCCTAATCCTAGGACGACTTTAGTTTGCAACCAGGGAAATCATGAAACTCCCCACCTCTCTATGACATACTGAGCAACACAGATCAATGTGGGCTCAAGTTTGAACTAAAGACTTTGTCACATTAACTAATAGCTGAGGCAATATGATCAGTACTGCAGAGGCTCTTGTGGTCCAGTGGTAATGTCCCTACCTCTGATTTAGGAGACCTGGGTTCAAGTCCAACCTGCTCCCGAGATGTGTAATAACATCTCTAGACAGGATATCTAGGATCAGGACTGGATTGTCTTCAGGAACCTTTGCTTTTGGCAAGAGAAAATGTTACTTGCCTTCACACTCTCAACTGCTATATAGAAAGGCAGAGTTAGGAACAACAGGAACAGGAGCAGGTCATTTAGACCATCGAGCCTGCCCTGCCATTTAATACAATCAAGACTGAAGAAAACTTCAATGTCTTTCACCCACCCCATCCTCATAACCTGTTCACCATTGTAATCAGAAATACATAAATCTCTATCTTAAACATACTCAAAAGACTGAGCTTCCACAGCTCTCCATGGTAGAGAGTTGCAAAGGTTCACAATCTTTGTATTTTACATAGCCTCTTCAACCACTTCAGAATCATGCTTTACAACCAATTAAATACTTCAGTGAAGTGTAGTCACTGCTACAATTTATGAAACATGGCAATCAATTTGTACAAAGAATAGTGTTTAGGTTAATGACTGCATAATCTATTTCACCAGTGTTAGATAATTATACCATGGAGAGATCTCTTACTGTGCTATGAAAAATGGCCATGGCATTTCCTAAAAGCTGTCCAAGGGGACAGATAAGACCTTCATTTAACATCTCATCTAAAGAGAGGGTCTGGTTAGTGATGCAACAGCATGGGTTCACCATGAAGTACTCTCCTTCTCAACCTCTCTTCTTGCCTGAGCCTTGGGCTGAACCACCACCAGTCATTTCTCTAATGAGAAAGCAATCCTATGATCTGTTAAGACTATAGCGACTTTATCTTTAAAACAGGGCACATCTGGCAGTGCAGCACTCCATTAGTACTGCTGTAAGCTTCAGCTTTCAGTCTCTGTATTAGCACTTAAAGGCACAATCTGTGGACTCAGGTGAATGCACAATCCCAAAGATGGGAAGGAATTTCTTCTCTGAGGGTTTGTGAAGTCCTTGCCACAGAGAGCTGTGGGGGCCACAGTCCTTGTGTGTATTCAGTGCTGAGATAGAATCTTGATCAGTGGGAGAATCAAAGGTTGCATGGGAAAAGGCTGGAAAGTGGAAGTGAAGAATGATCCTATTGAATGGCAAAGCAAGCTTGAGGAGCTGAATAGCCTATTCCTGTTCTTACTTCTTATGGTCTTACATAGCATTCAACATTTCCTTATTATTTTCTTGGTGTCCCAAATCAAATGTTGACATTTTCAACTAAAAATATTATAAATTCACCTGCATTTGAATACCTGTGTAGAAGACTGCCAGGGAAAACATCGCTATAAAAGGGCCATTTCATGTATTCCAGATCACCCAAGCATGAAAACTTGAACATACATTTCTCAAACTTTAATTTGTTTAATGCTTCAAATGCCCTAAAAAAACTTAATGGTACTGATTTTCATCACAGTCATAAGTTTCAGTAAGTCATAAGTGGCATTGGGATTTGCCTAAATACATCACAAAATTAGAGAAAGGTTACAGTTTGGAAGGAGGCCACTCAGCCCATTGTGTCTGCTCTAGCTCTTCAATGAGCATTATTACCTACTACCAATTTGCTGCATTTTCCCCATACATAACCAGTTATACTGCTAAATCAAGTTTCTCAACAGCACTGTTTCTTTTTCTAGATGCAAGATCATCTTTCTTTGATGCCCTAACACCATTTATCAGAAGATAATTAACACTAATAAAATTACTGATTTAAGGTTATTCCCGATCTATTCAAACTAATGTTTAAAACAACACATGTAAAGGTCTTCCAATCTTAAATTTGAATTTTATTTTCTCTATATCAAATCACAGAACTGCCCTATTAGAAAATCATCAACGTGCATCATAAAGATGCATGCAAGTTTCTCTTGCACCTGCAGAATACAGCTGGACATGATTTCAGCTGAATACAAACAACAGCAAGATGGATCTAACTGAGAAATGCCAAATCCTTGATGTACATAAATACACTTAATTTCCACAGGTTTCTTCTACTTCACCCATGCTTTCAATGTTTTGAAACATTTTGCTTTGTGATTTTCACCCTGCAAAAATGGGGCTTTTATATTAATCAACCTATACACACAAATACATGGCTGAGACAGCGAAGAAAATTTTGAACATCACTTCTTCTGGGGTTGTCTGATCTAACGTCTGGATCAACAAATCTCTCTTCAAAATCTTGAGCCACTAGTCTCTCTTTAACCTTTTATGTCTCATTGGCAAGTGCTTTTTCTATACATATCCATTTATGAGATAAGGCCGACTCTCATTAATCTGGCACTTAAGAGTAGAAACTAAACTCCTTCCAACGATCCAATTCTTTTTGTTCTGTCTTTCTTGCGCCGTGAGAGCTGCTGAAAATGATTGCTTTCCTAGGAGATATTGAAGCCTCAAGCATTTGATCCAAAACTTCAGTTAGGCCCAGGAGCCTGTTGTTGTTTGACACTTTAAAAAAAAATTTCATGTGATGTTAGCATCACTGACTGGGCCAGTATTATTTCCGATCCCCGAGAGCCTTTTGAGAAGGTGATGGTGAGCTGCCTTCTTGAACTGCTGCAGTCCATGTGCTGTACGTATACCCACAATGCCCTTAGGGAGGGAATTAAAGGTTTTGATCTGGCGACAGTGAAGGAATGGCAACATATTTCCAAGTCAGGATGGTGAGTGGCTTGGAGGGGAACTTGCAGGGGGTGGTG